ATCCAACCAGATTCTTTTCTTTTCTCTATTTCTCTTAAATTAGAAAAATTCAAGCAAAATTATAATTTACAGTGGAAAGTAGCAAGTAGTTTTTTTGGTTGTTGTTTCTGAATACTCAAATTCAACATGGACCCTCGAATCATAAAGAGATTTCTCACTGAAGACTACTTTTGAGGCTGTGTCAGTTGCTAAGTTAATGGTCATTGTCATGCTTAAAAACTTGAGAAATAGAAGTTCTTTGCATTTTATTGACTACTTCTATTTGCTATTTATAGTTTTTATTTGCACTCCATTTTCCCACAGCACACTGAAAAGATGTACTTTCTGTGGCCAAAAATTGAGGGCATTTACACTTATGCTATTCCTTTAACACCGAATTGTGCCCAGCATGTGTGTTTTAACTACCAGCTGTTTTCTGTGAATAAAGCAGTGGTAGATCTGCAGTTAAGGGATATTCTAATTGTTTAGCGAGGCTCTTCCTTGCTGTACAGATTCTCTCAGAACTGATTCCAGCACATGTTTTCAAGTCTCTATCATAGTTTACAAAATAATCATTAAATAGGAAAAAAAATCATATTTCGTAGTATGGGTTTTTCAATGATAAACACATAAAAATGTTGGCTGCCATCTTTGCTGTGTGTATTGCACATAAACCAAGAGCTGATTTGGATTCATCACATGAGTGCATTTACCTACCAGTAAAGTAAAATATCTGCTGTGTACAAATATGACAGTAATTACTCTTTTACCTTATATGCCTTTTCAGTTCTGTGATGTCCCAAGGTATCACACAGTAAATACATTTTGGAAATTTTTTGGTCCGTTCTCTCTTCCAGCATAATGTTTATCATCTGTGTGGCTAGTTTTACAAGTCTCTCAGCAACAGTTTACATTTTTTATACGCTTTTCCTATGAGGAGCACAGAATCTGAAGGGTGCCTCTAGTTTATGTCACTTCTGTTTTAGGAACAAAAATCTTCAGTTTCATATAAGAAAGCATTATGTGATTGTTCTAGAAAAGTTCTACTGGTTTACCAAAAAGTCTTCACATTTTGTTTGAATGTCATAAAAGTTTCAAAGTGGACAACATTCAGAAGAATATAAGGTGAATGAATTGTGAGTCTAAAACAAAGTCCAGTTTTTAGATGGTCACTGTTGTATGACTTAGTAATATTTTTTTTATGGGTTTGTGTGGTATCATCACACCCACAGATTTGTAGTCAGATTGCATTAGAGTCTTGCTCTTGATTCAGGCTTAGCATTTATTCTGAGTTTTGTTACTATTTTTATTAGTACCTTAAGCCTTAGGAAACCAATTTTGAGCCATTTATTTTTTGGACTGGAGACATAATGTAACAATGCAAAAAATGCAAATTCAATAGATATAAACAATAATATTCAAATGACACGAAAATACTTTACCTAGGATGATTTGTAGTCGTGCAGAATAATGCAGGCCTTAGGGCACCTGCCTCGCTTTTCAATATGTATGGTTGGGAATTCCCTGGTGGTCCGGTGGTTTGGACTCCGCACTTCCAGTGCAGGAAGCATGGGTTCGATCCCTGGTCAGGGAACTAAGATGCAACAAGCCGCTTGGCCAAAAGTTTTTTAAAAAATAAAAGATAAAAACAAAATATAATTGTTAAGATGATGATATTTCTGTGGAAATCAGAATTAATCTTGCAGTTCACAATGTTGAAATATATGTAAACTAAATTGGTTCTCCCCCCCGCCCCAAATATTCCAGACCGCTGAGGAACCACTAGTGATTCACAGATTTGATTAATAATGGGTAATACTCTATTACTGTTTCTTAGTTTAAAATTTTATCTATGTGCTAATATTATAGAGGTATTGAGCAATATTTTCATTAAGGATTTTGCTCCTTCAGAAATCGTGCACTCTACCCTTTATCATTAGTTCTACTGTCCGGGATCATTCCTATCAAGTAGAAACAAGGTCTAGAACCTACCATTTTAACAACAGAAGTATTATTCCCACATTCTTTTCTGGCTATTGCTCCATTTCATCCTTGCCATGTATAGTACAATTCCTCAAGAGTTTACTCTAGTCACTGCCTCTACTTCTTTACCAGTTTAGACACTAAGGACAAAAAACACTATCGACCCACCATTATCTTTGAACATTACCAGTAACTTTGAAGTTCCCTGTATGCCACTCCCAGATCCAATTTTCTTCTCCCCTAGAGATGATAACCATCCTGAATTTCTTCATAGTTTCCTGTATGTTTATATTTCTAAAAAGTATATTTCAATGAATATTTTATTTTATATTGCATGTAATTATACTGTATGTATCCTCTTGTGACTTTTCTCATTCAACATTATGTTTTTAAGATTCATTCATATAGGTTGTAGCTATCCTTCATTCATTTTCACTATTGTATTCCACTGCATGAATGTACCAAAATTTCCCCATTCTGTTATTGATGGACATTTGGGTCGTTTTTCGTTTTCTTGCTGCCCCAAACAGTGCAGCTCTGTGCATCCATGTTCTTGTCTCCTGGCATCAAACTATATAGAAAAGGATCAAGCTTTGGGGTTTTTGCCCCAATCTGCTTTTGTAAAATATACTAAAATCAACTCAACAATATCAAATTGATATAAAAATTTCTAAACATATACTCTTCACTTCTGTACTTCCTTATTGTGGACCACACCTTGAATAACACTGCTGTAAGATGTACCTAGCTGCAGCTGTATGATGCCTGGATTATACATCTTCTATTACTTATGCAGAAAATTTTATTTTCTCAAAATCGCTAATATTCTAGTTGTCCAATTTACACAGAAGGCAGTCTACCAGCGATTTGTGGCTTTCACTGTATCTCTTTTCAGTTCCTAATATTTAGGGGATTTCAGACTAAGACCTGCTGCCTTTTGGCAAATGTATTTTTGATCGCAGAGAAAGTGACTATAAGTAAGGTTGATCTACTGCTTAAGAGTTTATTCAAAGCTAGAATAGCAAGTGGGAGGCAAGGAAGACTCAGTGTTAAGAAACCCTCCTAATGAAAGTATGCTGGAGTTAGCAAAAAATCAAATTCTACTCAGAGTAATGATTAGGAGAGATGAGGTGTAGGTATGTCACCATTTGATGGTATCATTTGTAGAAGAAATGTGGAGGTATGGATTGGATGATAGTATGTTAGGCAAGTATGCAGACTCAGACGCAAATCTCATAGGTAATCTTTAGTGATCCATCCTGTGGTTCTGTTTTCACTCCTGTTCATTCTGTACTTTTTAAAGTGAACTTAAGAAAACATCAGATTTACAAATGTCATGATGATGGGAAGAATGGTGAATAGGCTAGTTGACATTCCACTCTCCAAAGAAACTTGGACAGGCTGAAATCACGACTGAAGTAAAGTACTGCAGTTGGGACTAAAAACCCAGTTGTGTAAGAATAGCATGCAGAAAATGGAGCGTGTATTTCAAGTATAAAAGAAATTTAGGGATTTTAGGTTATTTTAATCTTAATGTGAATGTTCTTAGGAAGTTATTAATGTTTTAAACTGCATTAATTAATGTCTCTAGAATCTAGAGTTTATGCTGGTTAAATCAAAACCTGAAATAATTATATGAGGACCACACTTAGGGCCATATAAAATACTGCATAAATTTGATGAGTCTACTAATATATATTATGTACTTTGCATGTAGCTGTACCATAGCCATTTTGCAGGTACTGGTCCATGAATTTTGTAAGTGTCTGGATTTTCTTTGGGAAGAGAGAGGTTTCTCTTTACTGGCAAGAGATGACCTTCTGCAAGGATGGTGATAATGACAATTGACAATTTTTAAAAGGGGTCAGCAAGCTATAGCCCACTGACCAAATCCTGCCAGGAACATGTTTTTGTATGGCCACTGAGCTAAGAATATTTTTTTGTTTTGTTTTGTTTTGCATGTGAAAGGGTTGTAAAACAAAAACAAAAACCAAAGAATATGCCATGGAAGACCTTATGTGGCTTGCAAAGCCTAAAATATTTACTATTTGTACCTTTACAGAAAAAAAAATCTGCCAACTCCTATTTAAATATCGGACCAATGAAAGAGTAGATAACATTTTATGATCTTTTGCAATCAGGATCCTTACGACCAAGGACAAGAAACAACACAAATATTTCAGTACATAGAAATTGTGATTGTATTACAAATTAACTAGGCTTATGTTCGATACTAGGGTTCAAAGCCATGTAGAAAATCACAATTATAATCAATTATTTAGGCAAAAGGAGGAGACCTATTTATTACTTAAGTAAAACTTAAAAGAAATTTAGGATTAATGGTAGGTAGCAGTTATAGCTTGCCAAATTTAAGCAAATTTTATCTTCTAGAGCAGTGACTATTAGATGGAGAAGTAACCACACGGCCTGGTAGGAAGAGAAGGGCAGGAAAAAACTAGTCTGGTACTAAGAAGTTACCATTGAGAATCTATAAAGGAGAAAAACAGGAAAACTAATTATCTGTGAATCAAAAGGATTGTGTGTAGCTGTTTATAAATCCATTCCTTTATGCTTAATCTAAACCAAGGGCAAGCTTTTTAAAGTGCTTTTGACAGAAGTGCCTTATTGGTAAGGAGATAGCACCACCTACTGTCACTGGTTTAAAATGACAAATTATGAGCCTTTGGAGAGGGTAGGGAGGGGGAAGAACGGTGATTTGTCATTTTTCTTGTATTTTTAGTGAATGGATGTGCTTCTGGATTTATATTTTCAGTTCTGTGGTAATAGATATTTTGAATCTATATTTTGAATATAGATTAGTGACTTTATCCTGACTCTTCTTTTGATTTCTCAATCACAGGTTGTGTAATTAATAAATTATTCCATCTAGAGATAATTTTTATTCTAATCTTCCCAATTCCTCTCCCAAACTTTAAGGTATTTTAGGTATCTGTAATTGAAGATGCTCCATTTTGTCTTTACATATATTTATTTATTTATGGTTTGTAACTAAGTGAACTCTTTTTTTTTTTCCCCAGATGATTCTTTGGGATTGGGACTTAAAGCAGTGGTATAAACCTCACTACCAGGTAAATATAAGTGATATCACTAATAATTAATAGAAATCTTCTGAATATAACTTTAATTTATATGCCGTAAGATTTTTCTTTAGCTGAACTAAGATAACCAGAACTTCATTTAGGTAGTCTTTTAAAAATATATTTTAATTGTAAGGGAAAAGAAAATAAGAAACCAAGCTTATATAAATAGTTATTTTTAAAATGTTGCTAATATAATCTGGGCTCATCTATATTAAATATGAGGCTCTTTTCTCCCCAGTTCACTCCACCTAGAGTTACTGATAAATGTACAGAAAATTGCACAGCTCAATGAATTTTCAAAAATTAAACATCCCATATAACTAGTACCCATAACAAGAAATAGAACATTACTAGCATCCCACAAGCCTCACTTGTGTGCCATTCTAGTCATTACCTATGTTTCCAAAGAAAATCCCTATCCAGACTTCTAGCAATTAGTTTTCTTTATTTATGAACTTTATATATATGGAATAATACAAAATGTACTTTTTAAAGATTTTTTGATCACTTTATGTTGTTATCTGTAGAATTAAAAATAGAAGTATAGGAGAAAAAAGGAAAATCATTCAAACATCAAGGAATAACTGTTAACTTTGTTAACTTTTGATATATGTCTTTATAGATCTTTTCCTAGTTTTCCATTGTATTGAAACATATGGTTTATATAATTCTAGTCTACAAAGATTGTAATATTATGTTTCATATGCTTTTGAAACCTGATGTTTTTCACACTAATAGATAAACATTAATAAAAATCAAATCTTTGTCATTTGTGTTTACAGACATATTACTTCTATTGTCCCAACATAAAATTTTGCAAAATGAACACCCCTTTGAATGGTTGATTCTTATTTTTAAACTTTAAATGGAATAGCCACAACAGCCCATTAAGAAAAAAATATTCTCTGGTGTAACTGTTACAGTCAGATAATGTGAGGAAGGCCACATCTGACCTAAAAGGGGCTGGGGTTTCTTGACCTAAATAGTGGCCTTTTTCATCAGTCATCTTCACCAGGATCCTCAGTTTCCAATTAAAAGGATATCTAACCTAAATTACTGGTAAAATCTAAAGATAAGTAATCAGTAATGGTTGAGAGCATGGGCTTGTGGACACACAGACTTTTATTTCTCTCTTCTCCTACCCCTCTTTCTCTCCCTAATAATCCTTTTTAAAAAATCAAAGTATAGGGAATTCCCTGGTGGTCCAGTGGTTAGGACTCAGCACTTTCACTGCCATGAGCCTGGGTTTGATCCCTGGTCAGGGAACTAAGATCCCACAAGCTGCACTGAATGGCCAAAAAAAAAAAAAAAAATTGAAGTGTAACGCTCATATATAAAAGTGCACAGGTCATAACTGTATAACTTGATGAATTTTCTCAGAGTGAATATATACATGTGACCACTTTTCAGATGAAGAATTCAGCACCCCAAAAGCCCCCTGTGCTCCCCACCTAGTCATCAACTTCTCCCAAGTGTCCTTTCAAACCTGATTTCTGTCATCACAACTTAGTTTTTCTTGTCTTTTTCTGAATCGTATATAAATGGAATCACTCATGTATTTTCTGTCTTCTTTCAAAATTTATCTGTGAGATTAATTCATGTTATTATACATAGTAGTAATTCATCCATTCTTATTCTATTTAGTGTTTCATTGAATGAATATACAGTTAATTCATCCATTCTATAGCAGATTGACATATGTTTTATTTTTCAGTTTTTTGTCTATTGCAAGTTATGCTGCTGAAACATTCTTGATGTCTTTTGTTGGATATATACATTAGAGTGCATTGCTGGGTCATAGGGTATACATGTGTATGTTCAGTTGTAGTAGGAAGCACCAGATAATTTTCCAAAGAGGTTATATCACTTTTACCCAACCATCAGCAGTATATGGATGTTTCAGTTGCTCTACATCTTTGCCAACACTTGGTAGTGTCTGTTTTAAATCATTCTAGTAGCTGTTGAAGAATATCCATTGTGGTTTTAGTATTTGTATTTCACTGATGGCTCATCAAGCTGAGAATCTTTTTATGTTAATTTGCTACTCAGATATCCTCTGGTAAAGATCTTTCCCCCATTTTTTCCGCTGATTATCTACCTTTTATTTAGTGATCAGTAGGAGTTCTTTATGTATTTTGGACATGAATATATATATTCATAAAAAAAAATCTTCTCCCTGTCTGTGGCTTATCATGGTGTCTTACTAAAAGTACTCCATCAATCACTTCCTTTTATGCCAACTTATCAATCATTTCCTTTTTGTCTAGTGATTTTTTTGTGTGTGTCCTATTTAAGAACACTTTGTCTACCTCCTGGGTTGTGTCTATCCTCTGGGTTGTGTCTACCCTCTTCTGTTACCTCCTAGCAGTTTTACTGTTTTACTTCTCATCTTTAGATCTGTAATGCATCTAGAATTGCTTTTTCTGTATGGTGTGATTTATAGATCAAGACATTTTTTTCGCATATGGTTATCCAATTGACTCAGTTCCAGTTGTTGAACAAAATACACATTCTTTCTTCTTTGCACTGTATTATAACCTTTGTCATATATCAAGTGACCATATGTAGATTTGTTTCAGGACTTTCTCTTCTGGTCTGTTTGTCAATTTGTCTCTCCTGAAACACTGGTACCACACTCATTACTTTAATTACTGTAACTTTATAATAAGTCTTGACATCTGATAGTAAGTTCTCCAGCATTGTTTTTCTTCAAAGTTATCTTGACTATTCTTTAATAAACTTGAAAATTTCCACACACAAAAAAAATACTGCTAGGATTTTGATTGAGACTATATTGACTCTATAAATCAGTATGAGGAGAATTTACATCTCATAATACTGAGGCTTTCAATCCATGAAAATGGTATATTTCTTCACTGATCTGTATCATCTTTATCTTAATAATGTTTTTAGTGTAGGGGTCATGCATATTTTGTTAGCTTTATTCCTAGATATTTAATTTTTAAAATTACAAAACATATTGTAAAAGGTATCAATTTTTAGAAGTTCCATGTTTTTAATAGTTTGTGCTGCCTTAGAGAAGTTCAGTTGATTTTTATATATTGATTCTTATATCCAGTGTCCTTGCTAAATTTACTTATTAATTCTAATATCTTGTCTGAAGATTCTTTTAGAGTCTTTAGGGATATAATAACATCATCAATGAAGAAGGACAGGTTTATTAATTTATTTCCAGTCCTTTGCCATTTTTCTTGCATAACTGTACGGTTTAGGATCTTTAATGCAGTGTTAAATAGAAGTGTTACTAGTAGGCAGCCTTGTCCTGTTCATGAACTCAGGAAGAAAATATTCAATATGTTCACCACTAATGTTTTCTATAGATACCCTTTATCAGATTAAGAAAGTTCTATTCTAATCCCATTTTACTAAAAACTTTTTTCTTTTAAGTCATAAATGGGTGTAGAATTCTATCAGATGCTTTTTCTGTGCCTATTGAGATGATCCCTGGATTTTCCCCCATTTATTCTATTGATGTGGTAAATTATATTGTTTTATTTTTGTGCCTGTGTTGAACCATCCCTGGAATTCCAGAATAAAGCAAATTTGATCAAGAAGTATTTTCTTTTTAAAAATATGTGTCAGGAACTTCCCTGGTGGTGCAGTGGTTAAGAATCTGCCTGCCAATGCAGGGGAAACGGGTTCGATCCCTGGTACGGGAAGATCCCACATGCCGTGGAGCAACTGAGCCCAAGCACCACACCTACTGAGCCTGCACTCTAGAGCCCACGTGCCGCAACTACTGGAGCCTGCGTGCTCTAGGGCCTGTGCTCCACAACAAGAGAAGCCACCACAATGAGAAGCCCGTGCACTGCAATGAAGAGTAGCCCCTGCTCACCAAAACTAAAGAAAGCCTGTGCACAGCAACGAAGACCCAACTCAGCCAAACACACACACACACACACACACACACACACACACACACACACACACACATCACTGGATTTTATTTATTAATATTTAGAATCTGTGTCTAATGTGAGAGAATTGGTCTGTTATTCTTGTTTTTCATCATGTTTTTGGTATAAAGGTTATACTGGCCTCATAAAATAAGGTGGGAAATTACCTTTTTTTCTATTATCTAGAAGAGTCTGGTAAGATGGGTTTCATTTCTTCCTTTGGAAGAATACTCTGGTGATGCTATCTCAGTTTGGAGCTTTTCTTATGGGCAAGTTTTAAATGATTAAGTTTCTTTAATAGTTTTAGGACTATTCAGGTTTTCTGTCTCTTCTTATAACAGTTTGATTAGTGGTATTTTTCTTGGAACTCCTTTTGTTTTGTTTTCTCCAGCATTGAGACTGCTGAATACTATATTTTACTTTTAAAATAGAAATCTTTTTGAGGATTTCTGCTTGGTTTCTCCATCTCTTGGCCACTGTTTACAGATTGGCAAATATCTTCAGGGGATAAGCAGCTCTGAATTCAAGCTTGCATCTTTGTTCTTCCCTTCTCTCTGGGATCTTGCTTGGCACTTAAAGCTCTCCCTGTCTTTATAACCCTAAATTCCAGTTTTGGTCTCCCAGCATAGAGCTGTTTCCTAGCTTCTTAACTGCTCTGCTTCTCATCTTCTCTGCCCCATGTCAGCTATGAATCAGTAGCAAATTCTGTGAAAGGAAAAAGTAGCACAGAATATTGGGTTCATTTCAATCTTTTCTCTTAACTCTAGGTTGTTGTTTCTTCAAGCACTGGCTGCTTGACTGTGTTCTGATGCCCTGAACTGGATGCTATTTCTATTTTATTTTGGCTTTTCTAGACCTATTGTTCTAGGCAGAAGAGTTGGTCTGATACAAACTAGTCCCTCCCAGCTAAAAAATTAGGCAAGCCTTTTAAGACCCTTTGAACCTATTTCTTCATCTATAAATTGGGAGTAATACCAGTTTCCTCAGAGGGCTGATTAAAATAATAATATGTGCCTGGTACATAGTAGCACAGAAAAATATAAGCTGATATTATATTAATTTCAATAATAATAAATACTAAGCATCTCTGAAATTATAGTATAAGATACGAGTTAGCACATTTTTTCCTATAAAGGGCCATATAACAAATGTTTTAGCATTTGAGGGACACACAGCCACCTTTTCCTCCCCCTCCTCCACTCCCACAGTAACTGTTAAAATGTAGTATTCTTGGCTCTGTGTACAAAGACAAGAGTTTGCCAAATATAAGCCAAATGGGAAATAAGAATTTGATGTAAGTCAGATGATGTCAGTCTCTTGCTCACTATGCTCTTATCTCACCAAAAATAAAAGCTAAAGTCCTAATCATGGACTTAAAAGACCCTGCACGATATGGTCCCTTCCTTTACTCCCTTTTACTTCTCTGACCTCATCTTCTCCTTTTCTCTTTCATTTCCTCTGCTGCTGCTACACTGGCCTTGTTATTCCTCAAACAAGCCAGGTAGGCTTCTGCCTCTGCATCTTTGCAGGCGCTAGCCTGTGTGCCTGGAATGCTCTTTTCTCACACTTTTGTCAGGTCTTAACATCATAAGTACTGCCTTCTTTTTAATGCCTTCCATCACTTCTTTTTTCCTTTTCTTGCTTTATTTCTCTTTGACCACCTCAAAATCCATGACTCTCCATTGTCCATATTCCTTAGCCTGGAATCTGATGTTATCAAATATTGGTTCCAACATGCCTCTCCAACCTTATCTTCCACTGCTCTTTAAAAAAAAAAAAGTATATATATATATATGGCCTATACTTAAAAAATTTTATGTTCCCTGTACATCACTATTTCACCACTTTTGTACCTTTATTTATGCTCTCTTATTCTTGAAGAATGAGTTCCCCCAAATAAATTTTGTTTCTATTGTAAAAAATTCTTTTCTCCTAATCTTTCTGAGTAAAATTCTACCAAATGAACAGCTCAGCTCAAATGCCACCCTTACCATGATGTGTCTGTTAATCACTCAGATTAAAGTTATCTATATATTCTTTGAACTCTGGTACCATTTTATCTGTATTTTTATCTCACCACTTTCCATAATAATAATATTTATTGCCCTTTACCTATATATTCTATACATTGCTTTATGTGTTCTGCGTGTATCATCAGATTTAATTCTCCCTGATACTCTCTGCTAAGTACCAGTATAAACTCTGGAAATAACGCAAGACGCGAACAAAGGAGAACTCTGAAAAATGCAAAGAGGAGAAATTAGGGACCCCAGTAACAGAGGAACAACATAGTGTGACAGGATGTCTTATAACTGTCACCCAACAGCAAATGTTGGGGTAATGCAGACTCCCAGCCTAACAGCAGAACGTGATGCAGGTAGGCTCTTCCTTTCCTTAAAATTGAATGAGAGCCTTGCCAACAACACCAAGAGGGAATTGATCAGGAACTCCATTGACGTTAAGTGGCCAGGGAAGTATGGTTATTCCCTACTAGGCATGAGACTCCCCTTCCCCAATGAGACAGAGGGTGGCCAGGTCTCCACAATACAGGTGCCTAGCCCAGAAAGTGCTCTTGGTCCTTGTGGCTTGGAGACTCCCTTCCCCGACCTAGGGGCACCAGATAGCCCAACCTGAGGAAGCTCCCCACCAGCTCTCACCTGCAGCACCAGCAGGGACCAGCGGAAACCCTAGTGGCACCAGGAGAAAATCAAGCAGACGGAAAATACCACTGTGAATGCCCTGAGAATTAACTTTTCATTAGAACTGCAGCCTGACAAAGTAGACTAGAACTTGGCGCTAAATCTAAAGAGGAAGACCACCTCCTACTATAAAAGATTTAAATAGGACCCAGAGTCTTCTAGCATAGTTACCAAAATGTTGATAAAATTTTGAAAATCACCTGTCATAGCAAGAACCAGGAGAATCACAACTTAAATGAGAAAACACAGTCAACGATTAACACCAAGATGATCAGATTTGGAATTGTCTGACAAAGAATTTTAAAGCGGCCATCATAATAACATCCTAACAAGCAATTATAAATTTTCTTGAAACAAATAAACAAAATAGAAAATCTTAGCAAAAACATAGAAGTTACCAAAAAAAAAAAAAAAAGGGAAGTTATAGAACTGAAAAATGCCATAATGGAAATAAAAAACTTGTAAAATGGTCTCAATACAGTGGTGATGACAGAGCATAGAATCTGTTGAGCTTGAGGATAGATCAGTAGAATTTACTCAATTTGAACAACATTGAGAAAATAAATGGAAACAAAATGAGCCTTCAGGACCTGGTGGACAATAACAAAAGATCCAACGTTCATATCATCAGTGTCTGAGAAGGAGAGAGAGTATGTTTGAAAAAGTATTTGAAGAAATAATGGCTGAAAACTTCCCAAATTTTGCAAAAGATGTAATTCTGCAAATTCAAGAAGCTGAATGAATCCCAAATAGGATCAGTGCCCCCCGCCCCAAATCTACTCTGAGATATGTCAATTAAACTTTTGAAAACTAAAAGCAAAGAAAATATTTTGAAAGCAGCCAGAGAGAAATGACACACTGCATACAAGGGAACACCAACTTAAATGACAACAGATTTCTTATTTGGGTGTGGGAAAATAGATACTGTTATACACAATTTGTGGAGGTATAGGTTTGACCAACATATGCAAGGGTAGTTTTATAGTGATTTTGGTTTGGTTCATTTACTTTGGCTCAGTAGTTCAAGTTAGGGGAAGCTATCTGTCAGAAGTATGCTTAATCTCTACAGTGACATATAGAGAGAGGTGTTTGCTTATAAAGACTAGAAATAGCTGGGCTATGGCCCAATAATGGGGAACGTTTTAAGATAAAAGCTAATACAAAATAATACTTCACAAGGGAAAAGAAAAGAATTCCACAAAGAGCAAAGACATTACTAAGCTAATTGTTGGTCTAACTTTCATAACATTTCTCAATTTCAAAATGTGTTGAGGATAATTAATAAACAGTGAACTCAATAAATACTTTGAATACTTATGAACACACCCAAATGTAAATTCAAGGCACAATAAAACAAACAAAATTAACATTTTAATTCACTGTTCTGATTATCAGTGTACTCATTTTTGTGGGTAATTGAGTTGAACATAATATATGTTTTCAAAAAGTAAAAATCATATCATATATATTCATCAACGAAATATTAATTTTAAATTAAAATGTATTTCCTATCCATTTTTAAGGGCCCAGCATCCTGTTATTCCTTCCATATTAAGTATTCAGTTCAGTGTTATCACTATCTCCTTTGAACTCTGACACCATTTTTTCTCCTTTTTATCTCATCATTTTCTATAATATGGAAAATAATAGTTTTATTTATTGCATTTTAAATATATGTACCATGCATTGCTTTATGTGCTTTACATAGATTATCAGATTTAATTCTCATGTCAGCCCTTAATGAGGTAGCTTTTATCCCCATTTTACAGTGAAGAAACTGAAAAGTTCAGATGTTGAATAACTTGCTCCAAGTCATGCAGTTAGGGCTAAAGTCTAGATTTCCAACTCAGATGTCTTTGCAACAAAGCCTTGTCACTATGCTAGACTGCCTCTTAAGTGAGGAGTAAATAAAAGAAATGCTGTATATGTTTGAAAGAAATTTTGACATAGAGGAAAGAGAATCATTAATAAATTAATTAAATGCCCAAACTATAGATTCTGAAAGAAACACAAATTTGGTTCCATACTAGTTATAAGGTAAGTCATTAATGAATACCGTTAAATATGAGATACACTAATGAAAAATGTAGGAAAAAAATTAAAGTTCACAATATCTGTTATATCAGCATCAAAAATTTTAAAGTTAGAATCCTACCACTTGATATATCATTTATGCCAAGTCCAAATAAATGAAAATTAATATTTAATAGGATTCAAGTACTTAGTTATTGTTAGAGTAAGTTTTTCTTAAATGTTAAATTTTCTTTTTTGGTTTTTTTTTTTTTTTTTTTTTTTTCTTTTCTAGAATTCTGGAGGTGGAAGCGGAGTTGATCTTTCGGTGCTAAATGAGGCTCGTAATATGGTGTCAGATCTTCTGGTTGACCCAACCCTTCCCCCGCAAGTCATTTCTTCCCTCCGGAGTATCAGTAGCTTGATGGGTGCTTTCTCTGGCTCCTGTAGGCCAAAGATTAATCCTCTCACACCATTTCCTGGATTTTATCACTGCTCTGAAATAGAGGACCCAGCCGACAAAGGAGATAGAAAACTTCACAAGGTCAAAATACAGTAATCAGCCAGCCCTGTTTATCACGTTTAATAATGTTTTTGAATTAAAACTGCTCCTTTAAATCTTGGATAAAATAGAATTTCTTTTTAAAGGGCCAGCTTCTTTTCCAGTACATTGAGTTGCTTGGGACTTCAGAGGTAGTCATAATCTCAAATAATTCTAAGCAAGTATTCAGTTTTTATTCTAAATAATATTGCTGTAATTAGCAGTTATAACTTCATTGGTAGCAACTATTTTTTATTATTGTTGTTATTGTTTTTAAGAAGTAGAGAACAACAGGCAAATTTAATTTCAGGCTGTACAGCAAACTAGTATTCAAATTGTGTCATTATTCTATTTTATTCTTTAGAAACCAGAAATTGTTCTTTTTGAACCAAGAAAAAATGATCATTATAATATTCATTTTATGAAATTACACAGCATTATTTTAAACTGATTTTCACATTTTTTGGAACTGTGTCTCCTTACCTCCCGCCTACCCACTGGAGATTACTATAGCCCAATAGGCATTGACTTTTCCATCAGTAGATATGGGATTAATTTTTCTTTAAATATCACTGATTCAAAATAGGATTTCCTTTAGAAAATAATAAATACTGTTCTCAATAGGTATACATTATGTCTGTTCAGGTTGCTTTTAATTCTTTTATTTGACTATCAATACCTTTACCAGTAGCAAAGATCATAAAACTTTAAAAATAGAAATATTTTAGAGATTATTTTAACTTCTTTATTCTACTGGCTAAAGAAACTAAGAGAAGATGAAATTCAAACCAGTTAATTTTGTTCATTGTAATAGTGATCTAGAGCTTAGAAAAAGTTAAATATAGTTTTTGGAGAGACTTTGATCATCAGTTAATTCTGTTAATTCTCAGCATTATTGTATAGAAGTGTTGAAAAATCAAGCAAGCCCGATTAGGGCAAATTTTTGATAATTATTCACAAATCTGGATCATAGGTAGTTATGTGATGCTTTTATTTTTAAAGTGTATCGAGTAGCACCTGCATTACACAAAACCCAATGGTAATTAAGTTATATGGCATTTTTTTCTTTTTTAGCACTCTACTTATGAGAAAGGTTAATCACAAGCAACAAAAAGGGATAGCAATAAATTCATCAATAAAATAACTAATATATTCTTGAGTTAGTTTTCATTTGATATGTTGTTCTTCCTTTGTATTTTCCATTGACATCTGATGTTTAGAATAGTAATTTTAAAAAATAATAATTCTTAAAAATCTTAGTGATAAAAATCACGCTGAGGGAATTCCCTGGTGGCCTTGTGGTTAGGATTTTGGGCTTTTACTGCTGTGGCCTGGGTTCAATCCCTGGTCGGGGAACTGAGATCCCACAGGCTGCATGACGAGGCCAAAAAAAAAAAAAAAAAAAAATCACATTGATATCAGTATTACGTTTGTTATTACGTTTACTATGTAGAAAAGTGTACTGTACGTTTTAGAAACATTTAAACAATAATATTAATTAAATAGGATGCCTAATTCCTCATTTCCTGAACATTCTAGGTAATAAGGCTTATTTTGAGTACTAGAATTTACTGATAGGAATAAGTCATATAAGAACCAGGAAGTAACCCTTATTTCTTTGTGTTCTTTAAAACTTCTTATTTGAATGTCTTATCTAATTTATCTCTGCTTTGGAAAAGCCTGATGTTATTTCAGAAAAGAGCAAGAGCATTTATGAAAAAATAATTAGTAAGGAAAAGGGAGTTAGAACAGATAATTTAATGTAATGTCTTATATGTGTATTAAGAACTAAGAAAGATTGTATGGACCTAAATTATAGTCAGAAAGGATGTTACATAAACAACTTTTTCAATGTAAGTATAACTAACATTGAACCTTTAAAAACTCAACATCCTTGGGAAAACTTAAATATAAATGGTATTTATCTCTTTGAGATGGTTTCATGTCTGCTGATAGGGGAAATAATTTATAAGAAGCAGAAACTGTTTAATGTCAATTTCACTAAAACACCTATTCACAATGGTCAAAAATGGAATATTCTGGTTAACATTTGGATTAACCGAGAATATTTTCAAAAATCAGGGTAAAATATTCTTAATGTGAAAGGTGTTCTGAATTTAATTTAGTCATTAATTCAAAAGGTAGCTCAGAATTCTGCAGTTTAACCTCTATGTACATTAGCATTGTACTGAAAATATATTAGGAAATAGGGATCACTCCTGATCCTAAGCTTGCCCTCTGAAGTCTTTTTTCAGGGTAAATCTTTCATATCTACTTTTAAAATTGTCAGTTGCATATTTCTCATAAAACTAGGAATAAAATGTACAAAAGAAAAAAAATTTGGTTAAACTGTAGGGAGTTCAGAAATCATTTTTTAGTTGGAGGAAGATAAATAGAAGAACAATATAGAATGTTATGTTTGGAGTAAAATTGACAGATTTTCAGAATAAAATATTTTGTTTCTCCTATACACGCTAAAAATGTATGGTTGATCCTTAAACGACCTGGGTTTGAACTGTGTGGGTCCACTCAGACCCGTATCTTTTTCAGTAGTAAATGCTACAGTTCAAAACCATCTGCAGTTGGTTGGATCCACGGACGCGGAATCCGGATATGGAGGAAGCCCGCATAGGGAAGGCCCACTTGTATGTTATTTATGACAACCAGATTATTCGACTACACAGAGGATCAGTGCCCCTAACCCCCGAGTTGTTCAAGGGTCAACTGTACTTTGTATTGATATTTCCATGGACCATCTTTTACGGCATATTGAAGGATAACGATTTTAATCATTGTTAAATTATCCAACAGGGGCTAAACAGTAGGAATAGTTTATCAACCCCACAGCTGAGAAGGAGCTCGGGAACCTCAGGTCTGCCACCTATCGACCAGACTTCTCCAAGGTGGGAACGCAATAATGGCAAAAGGCCTCACCAAGAATTTGGCATTTTAAGGTAAAATCCCCAGAGCCTTTTCAAGAAACCTGAATCTAATACATCAACTTTCTTTCTGTGAATGAAGTTTGAAATAGTTCTAAAAGCATAAAGGAACACTGGAAGTATTTTAGTATAGGACGGCTTTGTTTGTAACGTGGCCTGATAGAGAAACTGATTCTTAAAAAGAAGGTAATCTCCCTTTTCCCCCAAAATAGGTAAGTTGGGTACAAAGCATGCTGGAGCCTTAAGAACATGAATCAGGGAGGCAGTTTAAGGAAACAAGGATCAATTTAGGATGCAGTACTGGGAAAGCCACGGTAGAGGTGGCCATATTAGGGGCAGTCACCAGTCCCCTGCATAGTATTCAGAGGTTGGTCCACAGTTTCTGACTTGTGAAAGGAGGAGCATCCCCAAGGTTCACCGCAGATGTTACCTCAGACGTGAGATGTAAGGCAACAGGACACTTTTAAGCCCTGTTCCTACTGGAGAACTAAAACTACTAATATATTGTACATTCTGTTGAGGATTTACTTGGAACTAAACAGTGCTAATCCTACAAAGGAGAGGTGTCAGTAACTGCAACCAAGTGAGTGAGGCTGGGAGATTGCAGGAGCTGAGATCTTCTGAATGTATATATATCCACTTACTCTGATAACAAAGGATTCAATACTTTGCTTTTTAAAGGCCAGGAAAGATATTGATCTCTTGTGTGAGTTATAAGCTTCAATTTAGTCAATTATCTAACCATGTTAATAAAATTGGAACCAGTGTAAATTTCCTGTTAAACCACTTTGTTAGGACTGAGCATGTGTTGTGTTGATACTTTAACTTGACCCGTGTAGTTACACATTTGAAACAGTAGGTGGCAGTGTTGGATCAGAGCTATTTATCTGTTATATTAACATTTTATATATGAAATATGATCAGATCATTGTAATTTTCCAGATTCTTGTGTGATTTATTAATTTGAATCTTCTACTGTACATTCAAGTAGATGAACTCCATTTTTATAAAAGAAAAATCGAGTGAAATGATTTATAAAATAGGAATGGATCCAAGTATGAAGAGAACATTACAGGAAAATGAGCTTTGGTCCAAAGTTAGCCCAGAGCCTAAACAGGATAATGGTTTTTGTTGCTGTCATTGTTGTTGTTTTGTTAATGGAAGCAGGATATGACGAAGTAAATGACGTTAGGAACTGAAAATATGACATGCATTTCTTAACCCTGGGAAATATCTTGAGAATACTTTTGAGTTTAAGAAAGAATGATGAAAATGATTCTATTTTTTCATCTTTTCATCACATTGATGTAACAGCAATGCATTTAAGATAAAAGAAACGTTTGATGCACTGAGTTAAGGTTATTTTTATACTTCTGCCTCACACGAATGATAGTAAAATAGAAACATGGTCCAAGGAAAACTCATCTTTATACGAATATATCTCAGAGTTAAAGGTAGTATAGGCAGATTCCATATATTTACTTAACACTCATTAAAACAAAATCATATGCCTCATAAAAGATTTAGAACTTTGAAGAATACAGTAATTGGCCATATTAGGAAACATCTACTTTAAAGAGGTGAGGCTAGAAGTAATCTTTCTAGTGTGCAGAAGCTGGAGCTTCTCAGTAATAAATTTCTAAGTATACTTTGAACGCAGGGTAAAGGGGAATATATGAAGCATTTACAACCACTCTTCCTTTTGAAATTCCAGTCTCTAGATCAGTGCCGTCCAATAGAAATTTCTGTGATGACTGGAATTTTTTATAGCTGTACATGCAATTTGGTAGTCCCTAGCTACGTGTGGCTATTGAGAGCTTGAAATGTGTCTAGTATGACTAAGGAACTTAATTTAAATTTGATTTGATTTTAATTAATTAAAATACAAAGAGCCATATGCAACTATCATATAGACATAAATGGCAGGCATATTAGACATCATAGCTATAGATCATTAATGTATGGTGACATTTTGTTTGGGAACATTTAAGCTTTAGTAGCACAAAACAAATAGGCTTGTAACTCTGTAATCATGAGGCATTCATTTTGAATTTATTAGAGTACTCCAGAATGGAGATCACATTTCCTAGTTTTGATACGAATGTAGTTATGGATTCTGATCATAGCTTCTCTGACTATGATTTTAAATCACCCTATGATTTCAGCATGATTTAAATATTGAACCTGTTGCTCCCTGAAACTATGTCTGAAACCAAATTTCTCATCCCTCCAGCTGCTTTTCCCTCTGTTACTATTATTCTGTCCTCAGTTCTTGGCACAGTGCTGCAGTCCTCTAGTTTTGTGGTTGCTTACAAAATTGATTTACCTAGAAAACTTGGTGTTATCTATACATCCTGTTTCCTTACTCTATAGATAACAGTTGTCAAGTCTATCTCTAAACCTCTTTTCCTCTCTATTCCTTTTTCTCCTTTATCACTTTGCCTACACTATTTCATGCTTTCATTATTCCTTACATGGGCTATTGAATTATCCTTCCATTTCTAATATCCTTCACTACCCAATCCATCTTCTACCCTTCCACCAGAAATCTTCCGTAAACAAAACTTTGATTATACTGTTTTTTCTAATCATTAAGTTTTTGGACATTTATCAACACCCATAGAATACTGCCCAAATTCCTAGCCTGAGATTTAAAATTCTGTTACTCCCTCATGACAAAGTTGCACCCTTACTTGGAAAAATTAAGCAAACAGAGATGAGCAGTCTTGCAAAGAATAAGAGTAGAAAAATGATTTGGAAAGCTCTCTACGTGAAAGTAACAGGCATGTAACTTGTGTTAGACTCTTCCTTGAAGTTTTCTCATAATTTTGTTTTTAGTTTCAGTCCCTTTGAAAATTAAGCTGAATTATATTTTTCAGCTGCCTTATTTGTGTAAAGCGTAATATAGGACTTAAGCTTGGTTTTCTTTATGCTTTGCCTGGAGAAAAAAATGAAGTATTATAAACCTTATGTTAGGTATGATGAGAGGGCTCCAGAGGAGGAAAACCACAAGGAAGAAGAATTAGTCCTACTTGAACAGCCACTGTATTACCTACTCGTAAGAGTTTACCACTGCTGAGGCTTCCCTGGTGGCGCAGTGGTTGATCCGCCTGCTGATGCAGGGCACACGGGTTTGAGCCCTGGTCCGGGAACATCCCACATGCCGCGGAGCAACTAAGCCCGTGCACCACAACTACTGAGCCTGCACTCTAGGGCCTGCATGCCACAACTACTGTGCCCGCATGCCACAACTACTGTGCCCGCATGCCACAACTACTGAAGCCCACGCGCCTAGAGCCCGTGCTTTGCAACAAGAGAAGCCACCGCAATAAGAAGCCCGTGCACCGCAATGAAGAGTGGCCCCTAGAGAGAGCCTGCATGCAGCAACAAAGACCCAATGCAGCCATAAATAAATTAATTAATTAAAAAAAAAAAGAGTTTACCACTGTTCATCTCTTAGAGGACTTGAGATTTTAATTAATTAAGAAGGCCATTACTTTATAACACCAAAATACCTCTCCAGTATCACCTTTATTTATCTGAAAATCCAGTCAAGCTTAACTGTTTGATATTCCCTCCGTTTGTGCACAGCTGTGTCCCTTTTTAGTTATTCCCTCTACCTAGAAGAGACCCTCTGACCCCTATTTCTGTATGTCTTTAAAGATTGAGCTCAGATGTCACAGTTTAAGAATAACACGCTGACATCCCCCTCCCTTGTTCTCCAAGGAAAAGTAATCTGTTTCACCTCTGAATCTCTTTAACACCTTTTCTTTGCTCTTTTATGGCAATTTTCATTTTCTACCTTGCGTTAGTCATTACAACCCTTCTGAGACTTGCTTGACCACTGTAAAGAGTTTGGGGTTACATTAAAATGGGTCTTTGAAGATAAACAGCTGCTTAACAAGTATCCTGCAGGAGTATATGGTGTCCATATGACAGTTGGTACTGCCTTCTGCTTAAGTTTCAGACCTAGGATGAAGTTTTACTGGTCAGGAAATTCCAGGAAGTGTTGAAGAATGCTTTTCTGGGTTAGCTGACAATTGAATTACCCAAGTACAGTGTTAGTACCTAGGGTTAAAAGAATGGCTAAACTGCTATCCATGGAATGCCTGCTGGGACCCAGACCCTCCCTGTGGACAAACAATGTATTCAGAACTCACAGCTTATTTCCTTTGAACAGACTTTCCCTGGGGAAATGTAGGCAAATTGCGTACCAAAACTCTGAGGGCCGTAACTATAGGTACCCCTACACTAAAGAGGCTTGCCTTTAACCTATCCTGATTCATCGTTCATCGCCGTGTAAGTGCTCTGTAATTAAATCTAATAACTTGTTGCCTGGCAATAGTATGTCCTCTAAATAATGTACTTGGGAACCAGCTTCTCAATTATGTGTCTCATAATTTATTAGAGATTTATACCAATGCCTGGAACCTATTTGAACTGCAGAGATTCAAGAGGGCTAATGGTGTCATCCCACTCAGTTTTTAAGATAATGGCTCTGCAAATCTGGATGTTGAAGCCAGAAAGTTTTACAGCTACCTAAAAAAATAATAAATAAGGTGATACAAAACTTGTCAAGGTAATTTGCATTGATTGTCTTAGAAATCAACTCTTAACATATGACTTAACTCTGTGACCATAACATTTGACATCTCTTGTAATGCTTGTGCACTTGGATTTGAAGATCGATTCCGAAGTCTGACTTTAATCACCTTCCTACCAACTATTAATAATCACTGGGACTCCTAGCCTATCTTGCCCTCTGCTTTCTTCAGTATTTTTTTTTTTAACATCTTTATTGGAGTATAATTGCTTTACAATGGTGTGTTAGTTTCTGCTTTATAACAAAGTGAATCAGTTATACATATACACTCCTCAGTATTTTTTATGTAATCTCATTGTGGTATATATTTATCTGGTTATAGCCAGGGAATTAATGATTCTGGAACTGAGCTGAAAACCTGTCATTTGACCTCTCAATTCTAAACAGCTGTTTCAATGATTAGGCCCCCCTGGATTAAGGTAGAAGACTATGGAGCAGTGCTTTGGGTCTCTTCTCTGAAGGAGAAAACCCTGTCTTTGTTTTGAATATTAATCAGGAAGTAGATGTTGGTAGAGTACACAGATTGTTCTATTTGAATATTGCCCTGGGTGGTATTGTCACTCTTCTTTCCCCATCTCTCCCACTCTGTATGTAGGCAATGAATATTCAAATACAAAGAATGCTTGAGCATTGGTAGGGAGATGAGTTCATAGAGTGGTATTATTTGCATTATTGCCTCTTTTTGTAACATTGCCAACAAATTATTATTACTATTGAGCAAAAAATGTTATAGAATCTAAAGGCTAGATGTTATCTTAGAAGTCCTTTATTCTAAATCTCTAATTTTACAGGTGGAAAAACACATACAAAGATAGCATCAGAAATATCTGATGCTGAAAAATAGATTTTCCTTGAGTAAGGGGGTGTGGAAGTACAAAAAAGATGAAGGAGTTAGGGAAAATCTTGAGAACTCAAGATTCTATACTATCCTATACTATCTATACTATTCTATACTATCCTATACTAACAAAATGTTGAGTGGAAAATAGAGAATCTAGATTTGTCCTTGATCCTGTAGCAAAGTGCCCACATCAGGAATTGACTAACAGAAGAAAACAGGCTAGTGACCAAGAAAGGAAGTGCTATATGTATGGCATTGGGCCAAAAGCTTTAAAATATATAATCTTAAAATGCCTTTTATGTATCAGTTGGTATACTGTGACTGCTCACCTATATGTAATTTCTTCATAAGAACCCTGAAACCTGTAATAAACATTTCAGTTACAGGATATGATTGCGTCAGTGGGTAAATCAATATCTGTGAAGAAGGGGAGACCTTCTTCACAGACCTTTTGAATCAGAAATCTTGGGGATGGGACTAGAAATCTGTGTAGTAAGAAGCCCTCCAGGTGATATTCATAACCTGCTTGAAGCCAGGGTTCAGCAAATTATAGCTTGTGGACCTAATGTGGCCCATACCTGTTTTTGTCAATAAAATTATATTGAAACAATACTCATTTGTTTATTATTGTTTATGGCTGTTTTTATACTGCAGTTGGCAGAGTTGAGTAATTGCAGAGACCTTATGGCCTGCAAAGCTCAAAGTATTTACTACTTGGTTCTTTACAGTAAAAGTTTGCTGGCTCCTGCTTTACTCCTTAGGCACTAGATAGATGTCTAAACTAAATGTATAAGCAGATATTTGCTAATTGAATTGAAGATCATAAGGAAAAAAGGAATTTCTCGTGGTTTTAAAAATCTTAACCTATTATCTTTCCCTTTTAGTCAAGGATGCTATCTAAATGGACCTTTTAGTTCAAATCTACTGACAATCCCGAAGCAAAGGTCATCTTCTGTATCGTTAACTCACCATATAGGTCTAAGAAGAGCTGGTAAGAAATCATTTTTGTGACTTAAATATGGGAGGCCTCAAAGTATATGGTAGTGCGAACCTTGTCATTACCTATTTATAGCTAATTTTGAATACCATTTCATGTGTTATAGGTTAACATAACTAAGCAGTTTGGGTTGGCTATTAACAGTTTGCTCATTCATTTATTAATTTTTGAACAAGTACTATGTATCAGGCACTTTGTTAGGCACTAGTAATTCAGGGATAAAATATAGAACTATTTAACCTGGGTAGTTGTAGACAGAGAACAAGGGAAAACCCCGGAAAGAGCATTCTTTTGTAGCATGAGAATTGTGGAGGGAGAAAAAAAAAAATCTTAATACGAGAGTAGAAAAAAACCCTGACTATATCCTATATCCTATAATAAGTCATTCTAATAGAATTTTTATCCAATTATCTATCTACGGGGGGGGGGGGTGAGTTGACATAACATTATATTAGTTTTAGGTATATAGCAAAATGATTTGATATTTCTATATGTTGTGAAATGATCACCATAAGTCAACATCTGTCACCACACATAGTTACCAATTTTTTTTTCTTGTGATGAGAACTTTTAAGATCTATTCTCTTAGCAACTTTCAAATATGAAATACAGTATTATTATGCAATACAGTATTATTAACTACAGTCACCAAAGACAGTAGAATGGCATATTTAAAGTATTGCAAAACAAAACTTGCCAACCTGGAATTCTTTATCCAGTGAAAATATCCTTTAAAACTTAAGGTGAAATAACATTTTTTTCATACAAACAAAAGCTGGTAGAATTTATTGCTAGTAGACTTGCACTGCTAAGATTCAGCAAAGGAAGTTCCTTAGGTAGGAGGAAAATGATCCAGATTGAAGCATGGATCTGCAGGAATGAATGAAAAGCACTGGTAAGCCTAAATATGTGGGTACATAAGAGAATACTGATCATTAAAAACAATGACTCCCTTGTGGCTTGCATAGTGAATAAAGAAGTCAAGTATATGGTAACAGTGGCACAAAGGGTGGGAAAGGGGTAAATTGGACTTAAACTTACAGTGTACTGGCAGTGATTGAAAAGTACTAAAAAAGTTCTAATTTAAAAGAAACTAATACTTCAAAGATGCACATTGTAATATCCAGGGTGATAATTAAAAGAATAAAAGAAAAAGTATAAGTAAGAAGCTAATATAGGAGGTAAAATGGCATGATTAAAAAAAAAACCTTGAATAATCTAAAATAATACAAGAAAAGAGAAAATAAGAAACAAAAACATAAAGAATAACTAAAAAAGAAATAGCAGGATGGAGGATTAAGCAAACTATATTAAATATACACCTAGTGTGGGTGGCTGGTAGGGGAGCTGGGGGTGCCAGGGATCTGACCAGAGTTGTTGGAGTATATTATCTGAAATGTGCAGTTTTCCACAAAAAAGTTGAAAATACACTCCAGTTAATAGATACAGACTGTCAGACAATTAACAACACAAGACTCAAGTACGTGCTCTTTACAAAAGGCACACTAAATATAAGGACACAGGTATAAAACACACAAACCAAAAATTAATTAATTAAAATAAAATACACAAACCAAAAATTGACAGAACTAAAGGGAGAGAATGACAAATCTGTATTAATTTTGGAGATTTTAACTCATCACTCTCCTTATCTAGTAGAATAAGCAAACCAAAATATTAGTAATAGATAAATGGAAGATTAGGACAACGTGATTTAACTGACTTGACCTAGTTGACTATAAAACACCACACTCAGACATTACAAGATACACATTTTTTCCAAGGACACACACAAGATTGATCAAAATAGACCATTTGCTGAGCTATAAAACAAGTCTCAACAAGTTTCAAAGGATTAAGATCATATATAGCGATCAGCTTCCGGAATGGCAGAGAGAGGATCTCAGTAAACTTGCTCTTCTGCTAAAACAACAAAAATAGGGGCAAAAAACTAAACTCAATCATTTCAGAATTCTGGAAGTTAACAAAAGCCAGAGAACTAGAAGTCATCTATACAAGAGAAACTAACTACCGAACCTTGGTGAGACAGTGGGGTTCTGCGACAGCTTAATTGGGGGCACTTCCCAAACCCTCTCTCTGCCCAGCTCAGTGATACTACAGCTAAAAGCCACTAGCTTTGCAGCCATTAGAGTCTTACCTCTTTAGAAACTGCATTAAAAGCAACAACCTGATAGTACAGTAAACGTTTTGTTCAAGCTCCCTGGCAAACACTTCTATCCCCAGGGTGCTGTGGATATTTCATTTGACTCAGAGCTCAGCTCTCCAAAAACACAAACAAAAAAACCCCTATACCCTATGCCAGGCAACATTGTGAGTGCGTAAGGCTGTGATTTCAACTGGGGCAAACAAGAGCTGATTGGGAATTTAAAAGGAAATCTTGGACACTAGGTGACCCTGGGGAAGTGGAAAGCTCTGGCAACAGAAGAGGATAGTTTTTTTTTTTTTTTTTTTTTAACAAAAGGGGCCAGAACAACTGGATATCCAAGAAATGAATTTGGACACTTATCCCACCACATATACTAGGCTGAGCACATGTTTATTAGGGCTGTGCACGTGCCCGGGAAAGGTGAAGGCCCTGGTCACTCCATCTGTAGCTGACCTTGAGGTCCTGCACAAGCAGGAAATAAAAGCTAAGGCTGTCTTGTAAACTGCCTGGAAGTTTGAAGTTGTATCTTTTCAAACAGATTCTCATCTACAGATGACATAGAGGCAAGACATTTAAAGTAATTTCAGTCTCATCTAAATTACACTGACCCAAGAATGGCTTCTAAGAAAGCAAGCGTAAATCAAGGAGAAAAGGGAAAAAAGGCAGCAGAGAACTCAGTGGCTACACACCTCAGAGAAAACAAAATCTACATAATGAGTCCAGGAAATCACTCAATGAATAATCAGAAACAAAAAACGAACAAACAAAAAACCAGCAGCATAAACCTTGAGGGTGGGAGAGATCTGATGTTAGAATTGTTACAACATATTATCTAAAATGTCCAGTTTTCAACAAAAAAACCATGAAGCATGCAAAGAAACAAGAAATTTTTCGCCATGTAGACAATGAAAAACAGCCAACAAAATTTCCCTGAGGAGGCTTGGATTTGGGATTTAGTAATGACTTTAAATCTGCTACCATAAATATGTTTAAAGAACTTGAGGAAACCATATCTCAAGTAAGGACAGTATGACAACAGTGTCTCACCACAGAAAGAATATAAAGAAGTAGAAATTATAAAATAAAATTATAAAATAATTTAAATAATTGTAAAATAATTACCACTTCTACTCAATACTGGGTTGGAGGTTCTACTCAGGGAAGTTTAGGTAAAAATGAATAAAAGGAAGATGTAAAACTATTTGCAGACAACATAATCATATGTTTATAAATCCTAGGAAATTCATTAAACCTATTACAACCAATAAGCAAGTTCATCAGTGTGGCAGAATACAAGATCTATAATCAATAATCAATTGTATTTCTATATACTAGCAATGAACAATGCAAAACTGAAATTAATAATTTCAGGACTTCCCTGGTGGCACAGTGGTTAAGAATCTGCCTGCCATTGCAGGGGACACGGGTTCAATCCCTGGTCCGGGAAGATCCCACATGTCGCAGAGCAACTGAGCCCATGTGCCACAACTACTGAGCCTGTGCTCTAGAGCCTGTGAGCCACAACTACTGAGCCTGCATGCTGCAACTACTGAAGCCCGTGAGCCTAGAGCCTGTGCTCTGCAACAGGAGAAGCCACCGCAGTGAGAAGCCCACCCACCCAAACGAAGAGTAGCCCCCGCTCACCACAGCTAGAGAAAGCCCACACACAGCAACGAAGACCCAATGCAGCCAAAAATAAAATAAATACATTTATTTAAAAAAAAGAAAAAAATACTTCGGAATAAATTTAACAAAATAGTGCAAGACTTGTACACTGAAAACTATAAAACGTTGACATTAAAGAAGACCCAGATGTTTTTTTTTTTTAATTTCTGACTACGCTGCACGGCATGTGAGATCTTAGGTCCCCGACCAGGGATCAAACCCATGCCCCCCGCATTGGCACGCAGAGTCCTTTAACCACTGGACCAACCAGGGAAGTCGCAGGAAGACCCATATGGAAAATATCCCATGTTCGTGGACCAGAAGACTTAATATTGTTAAGATGGCAATACTCCTTAAATTGTTCTAAATTTAGTACAAATCCTTATCAAAATCTGAGTTGACTTCTTTGTAGAAATTTGAGAAGCTGATCTGAAAATTCATATAGAAATTCAAGGGACCCAGAGTAGCTAAAATAATCTTTAATTAAAAAAAGAAGAAAACTGGGGGACTCACACTTGTAAATTTTAAAACTTACTACCAAGCTATGGTAATCAAGACAGTGACACTGGCATAAGGATATTCCAACTCAGTGGTATAGAACTGAGAGTCCAGAAATAAACCCTTACATGGTCAATTGATTTTCAGCCAGTGTGCCAAGGTAATTCAAAGGGGAAGGAATAGTGTTTTTAACAAATGATGTTGGGACAACTGGATAGATATACAAATGAAAAAGACTGAATTTGGAACCATACCTGTCATCATACTCAAAAATTAACTCTAAATGCTCGTACACTCAAATATGAGTGAAACCATAAAACTTGTAGAAGAAAACATAGGAGAAAATCTCTGAGTTTGGATATTCTTAGACACCAAAAGTACAGTCCATAAATGAAATAAATTGATAATAGAGGGGGACTTCTCTGGTAGTGCAGTGGATAAGACTATATGCTCCCAATGCAGGGGACCCGGGTTCGATCCCTGGTCAGGGAACTAGATCCCACATGCAAGCCGCAACTAAGAGTTCGCATGCTGCAACTAAGGAGCCTGTGAGCCGCAACTAAGGAGCTCGCCTGCCGCAACTAAGACCCAGTGCAACAAAATAAATAAATAAATATTTTTAAAAATTGATAATAGGAATTCATTAAAATTAAATCATTTGTATTTACTTCAACAGACACCTAAAGAAAGTGAAAAGACAGTCCACAAGATGGAAGAAAATATTTGCAAATTATGATTTGACAATGGACTTGTATTCAGAATAGACAAAGATGTCTTAAAACTCAATGATAAACACACAAATGACCTCACTAAAAATTGGCAAAAGATTTGAATAGATGTTTCTCCAAAGAAGGTATACAAATGGCCCTAACCACATGAAAAGACACTCAGCATCATTAGTCATTAGGGAAATGCAAATCAAAACCACAAGGAATCATGACCTCACACCCACTATGATGTCTGTAATTCTAAAGACAGTATAATAAGTGTTGGAAAAATGTTCAGAGGTAGGAACACTCATACATCACTGATTGGAAAGTAAAATGCTACAGCTACTTTGGAAAACAATTTGGCAGTTCAGTACTTGAACAGAGAAATAAAATTGTGCTATGTTCATACATACAATTTTATATGTCATTCAAAATGAATGAACATGTGAAACATCTTTTTAAAATGTTGAGCAAGGCATAAAAGCATTTATACTATCTGATTCAATTTACAAAGTTCAAAGAAAGGGCAAAACTAAACTGTAAAGAGATAACATATGTGGTATAAATATAAAGAGAGGCAAGAAAAACACTACCATAAAAGTCAAAGTGATGCTTTCCTTTAATGAGAGGGAGGGGAATTAGATATTGGACATGGGTTTCTGATCTCTGGCCATGTTTTATGTTTTAGCTTGAGTGGTGAGCATTCCTGTTACAACTTTTCTGTATGTGTGTTATATTTCACAATTTAAAAGGTTTATAACAAAAATGATGAATCTGTATTGTAGAAAGTATTTTGTAAGGGTTGCTGGGTTTTTCTTTACCATTTTGTCTTCTCCTTGAAGCTTTTCTATGTTATATGAAATTTCTACCCTAAAATTAGGCTATCCTTTATTCTTCTCAGCCTGTTTGTCAGGGTTTTGGACACTCAGTATCATAATAGAAAAAAGAATGCTGAAAATTGGGACTTTAGTCTCCATTTCGTAACTAACTCTTATTATTTTGACAAGATACTTCCCCTTTCTAGTCCTCAATTTCCTCTTCTGAAACATTAGTGTTTGACCGATTATTTATAAAATCTTTTTCAGCCCCAACATTATATGAAATTATAGGAGCCTCTAAACAAATCAGTTTGATAGAACAGCAGTTGGCAGCCCTGCACATGTAAAATGAAAATGCTACTTAACTCACAGGGCTATTATGAAGATTAAATAAAGTAACACATTGTATTAGGGTTTTCCAGACAAATAGAACTAATAGGATGTTCGTGCATGTGTATATACCTACCTACATACATATATACTTACATACATACACATGGGGTGGGGAGTGATTGATTGATTGATTGACTGATGGGGATTGGCTCGCCAGATTGAGAGGGCTGTCAGGTCCAGAATTTTTAGGGCAGGCTGCCAGGCTGGAAATTCTAGCAGGAGTCGATGTTGCAGTTTTGACTCTGAAGGCAGTCTGGAGGGAAAACTCCTTCCTCTTTGGAGGACTTCAGTCTTTTCTCTTAAGGCCTTCAACAAATTGGATGAGGCCAGTCCACATTATAAAGGGCAATATGCTCTACTCAGTCTACAGATTTCAATGTTAATCAAATCTGAAAAATACCTTCACAGCAACATCTGGACTGGAATTTGACCAAACAACTGGGCATGATAGCCTAGCCAAGTTGACACATAAAATTAACCATCACACACGTCTGTAACTATGTCTGAAAATAGCATAATACCTTAACAACTGTTATTTGCTTTCCTCTCTGATTCACACTTTACTTGGATCTTTATTTCAAAATACAGTTTTAAATCCACCTACACCTGTCCAGATATACCCTTAGTTCAAGGCACCCAGCAAAGGCTCTTGAGTAAATCAATAGGATTAGGGATGTATTTCTGAAGCACTCTTTTTTTTCCCTTATTTTAACACTTAGCACTTGTTTGTATTTTCCACTAGACTTTAGGTTCATTGAGTTGTAGGGATGGCATCTTTTTCTCCATTGTGAAACACTGCACGTTTTCCAGCATATAATAGGCTCTCAGATACTTGTTGAATGAATGAATGAGCTGGAAAGATGTGGATTTTTTAAGGGATCTGCTGTTGTGTTAATATAATTTTATCATATGCTTAATTTGCTTAATGCTATCAAGAACTTTGGTTCTTCAATAAAAATGAATTGTATTGTACTGAAAAATATTCAATAAAATTTGGTAAAGATGCTTTTGTTCATGTGGATAATCAAGCTTGTAGGGACACAAAATGTTAAAGATAAAGACCAATATGAATTAGGAAAATTTGTGCCACACATTATGTACATTTTAGTTATACTTTTAGTATTTACCTACTATGTGCCATCCTGCCACAGGGTGTTTATTCCACAGTCATCGATGATGACAAATATGGTCTGTATTCTGCCTGAATTCGTAGAAGGTCTTGAAGATAGCTCTGTGTAGAAATCTAGTTAATCATTTAACTGTAAATATTTTGCTTTCTTTAAAGAAGGAAAATGCTCTTTATAAACACCCAAACACGGACAATAATACATATCAGTACATACATACATACATATCTCTTTCTTCTCTTTCAATTTTCTAGGTGCTTTACCCGGCCTGAATTCTCCCAGTCATGGACCAATGTCTCCTGGCTCTCCAACTAACCGATCGCCTGTAGAATTTCCTGACACTGCTGATTTTCTTACTAAGCCAAGTGTTATTTTACACAGATCTCTGAGCAATGCACCCAATTCACCAGATTTTTATCAGCAACTTAGAAATTCTGATAGCAATTTATGTAACAGGTAAGTTTCCCAAGTGTTTACTATTTGTTTCAAAATATATGTTATTTTAATAAAGTATTACCAGTTTTCTCATTCTGTATTATAACTAGATGATTAATGGATACTACATCCTCTTCTTCATCTAGCAGTTTTTATTCTAAACAATTTTTTTTCATTTCAGTGCCATTATTCATTTCCCAGCTAAATGATCTCCATCTGAAGTGAAATATAGTGGTATTTTATCCATCATAAGATATCAGTAAATGTATGAGAATTATTTTAGTATGTACTAATTTAGTACCTATTTACAGTACCCAGTTCATATGGTGTTTGTTCTTATTTCTGCTTTGATGGTAATAAGTGTTTACCTCAGATCTCAGTGTTACTTCAAAAATATATTATTTCCTTCATAGGGACACAGGTGCTTTCTAGGATAAAGCCTGTTAAGTTTATAGAGAGATTGGAATATTAGGATATTTTGCAGTTGGGATCTTGCGGTTAAAAAATAACCAGATTTATTGATTGTATTTAGGTAAAAAAATTTTGCCTCACTTATCATATACATATATTTATCTGTTTTATTTTATAAGCTGTGGACATCAAATATTGAAATATGCTTCAGCATCTGAACCAGAGTCTGGTACAGACTGCCACAGGGAAAAGTCAGGTGAGACTGCAAAAGTCACGTGTGTTTAAATTTAAGAACAATTTCTTACATTGTTTTTTAAAATGAATAAATGAATGAGTTTTTTAGTCTATCCATCTTTAAAATGAAGATTATAATCTTTTTTACTTCACAAAAGAGTTATTAGCAAATTATAAATAATAGATGGTGAAAGTATTTTGAAGAGTAAAAATGTGCTGTACGAATGAATATAGTCTTATGTCTAGGGTTCATAAATAGTGAGATTAACTATATTAACCTCGAAATTTAAATTGCATAATCTTAGCTCAAAAGCGTTTGCATACATTTTTAAATAATTACACAAAGGAGTTGTTTTAAAATTTAGTTAATTATATTATTCTGAAACATACCCTCAAACAAGAAATATTGTTAGTGATAAAGTTATAGTTGTTTTATAACTTTAAAACATAGATGACTCAAGTGTCCACTAATAGTTAACTAGGTAACTCAGACCATCATATCCCCTGAAGGTAGCTAGAAAAGTTACAAGTTATTAACAACAATAAAAAAAACTGCTTGAAGCCACTGAAGAACTAACAAGCTCCTCAGAATTTCCAGTGTAAGACCTGGAGGAGGACAGAAATCCAAGAAAGTGAGTCTCAAGTTTGGGGCTACCAAAAGGGTGTTTGCTGCTTCCAGAGGGGCCAGTGACTGATAGAATGAGCAGTCCCTTTGGTAGCTTCATGGGACTAGGGAGACAAAGATTGGAATTGAAGGTTTGCCGTGGTAGGAGTAACTTGGTAAACTCAGCAGTACTGCATCCTAAGAATAAAGGTAAACCAGAAATAGGCCCTTTCAAGGGTTATAGGTGCATATCAATCCCTTCACATACTTTAAAATTCACCCTTTTATAGTGTACAATTTAATAGTTTTGGGGTTTTACATTTTAAAGGACTAAAAAACAACAAGAGGGGCTTCCCTGGTGGCGCAGTGTTTGAGAGTCCACCTGCCGACGCAGGGGACATGGGTTCATGCCCCGGTCCGGGAAGATCCCACATGCCGTGGAGCGGCTGGGCCCGTGAGCCATGGCCGCTGAGCCTGCATGTCCAGAGCCTGTGCTCCACAGCGGGAGAGCCCACAACAGTGAGAGGCCCGCGTACCGCAAACAACAACAACAACAACAACAACAACAAGAAAGAAGACCAATCCTTCACAAACTTCCAAAAAAATAGGAGGGCAAACTTCCCAACTCATTCTATAAATGAGACCAGTATTACTCTGATACTATAAGCAGACAAAGGCATCACAAGAAAATAAAACTATAGACCAACATTTCCAATATCCTTAACAAAATGAATCTAGCAACAGATAAAATGTCATACCATGACCGATTGGTATTTATGCCAGGAATGCAAGGGTGGTTTAACATTTGAAAATTAATCAATGTAATATACCCCATTAAAGAGGGAACATCTCAACTGATGCAGAAAAAGCATTTAACAAAATTCAATACTCTTTCATGATGAAAACACTCAAACCAGTAATATCAGAGAAGTCCTTCAATCTGATAAAGGGCATCTTTGAAACAAACACAGAGCTAACATCATCCTTATTAGAGGAAGACTGATGCTTTCCCCCTAAGATCAAGAATAAGAGAAGGGGGCTTCCCTGGTGGCACAGTGGTTGAGAGTCCACCTGCTGATGCAGGGGACACGGGTTTGTGCCCCGATCCGGGAAGATCCCACATGCCGCGGAGTGGCTGGGCCTGTGAGCCATGGCTGCTGAGGCTGTGCGTCCGGAGTCTGTGCTCCGCAGCAGTGAGAGGCCTGCGTACTGCCAAAAAAAAAAAAGAATAAGAGAAGAGACATGACTCTTTTTGAATTTTTTTACAATAGCCAGGACATGGAAGCAACCTAAGTGTCCATCGACAGATGAATGGATAAAGAATATGTGGCACATATATACAATGGAATATTAGCCATAAAAAGAAATGAAATTGAGTTATTTGTAGTGAGGTGGATGGAACTAGAGTCTGTCATACAGAGTGAAGTAAGTCAGAAAGAGAAAAACAAATACCGTATGCTAACACATATATATGGAATCTAAAAAAAAAAAAGAATGGTTCTGAAGAACCTAGGGGCAGGACAGGAATAAAGACTCAGAGTAAAGAATGGACTTGAGGACATGGGGAAGGGGAAGCTGAGACAAAGTGAGAGAGTGGCGTGGACATATATACACTACCAAATGTAAAATAGATAGCTAGTGGGAAGCAGTCACATAGCACAGGGAAATCAGCTCTGTGCTTTGTGACCACCTAGAAGGGTGGGATAGGGAGGGTAGGAGGGAGAAGCAAGAGGGAGGGGATATGGGGATATATGTATATGTATAGCTGATTCACTTTGTTATACAGCAGCAACTAACACAACAATGTAAAGCAATTATACTCCAATAAAGATGTTAAAAAAAAAAAAAGAATAAGAGAAGGATTTTTGCTTTCAGCACTTGTATTCAATATTGTACTGGAGGTTCTAGCCAGGAAAATTTCTAGAAAGATAAAAAAATAAAGATATCTGAGTGGAAATAAAGAAATAAAACTGTCCTTATTCACAGATCATTTGTAGAAAGTTTCAAATACACACACAAACACACACACACACAATTATTAGAACCAATAAAGAAGTTTAGCAAAGTCACAAGACCAAAGTACAAAATCAATTGTATTTCTCTATACCAGAAATGAACCATCAAAAATTGAAATTTAGAAAATGTTTCCATTCATAATAGTATCAAAAAGAATAAAGTTAAAATAAATTTAACAAAAGAATTAGGAGATTTATAAACTGAAATCTATAAAACATTGTTGAGAAAACTAAAGAAAGAAAATTAAAGAAAAATTAAAGAAACTAAATAAATTGAGAGGCACTGCATAGCAAACAGATTGGGAAACTCAGTACTGTCAACAGGCTATTCTTCCAAATTGATCTGTAAATTCATTGCAATTCTGATCAAATTCCAGTAGGCTTATTTTGGTAGAAATTGACAAATTGGTGTTAAAATTTACATGGAAATACAAATGGCCTAAAATAGCCAAAACAATTTGGAAAAATAACAAATTTGAAGGACTGATACTACCTGATTTCAAAACTTATTTCCACTTCAGAAGACACCAATAAGAAAATCAAAGACAAACCACAGACTGGGAGAAAATACTTGCAAATTATACATCTGATAAAGGTCTTATAACCATGACATATAACTCTTTAACTCAATAGCAAGTCAACCAATTCAATTAAAACACAGGCAAAAGATTGTAGATATTTTGGTGAAAGACTTTTGGTGGAGGATATGAAGGATATAAATTAATGGGTAGTAAACACATGAAAAAATTATTAACATCATTAGTCATTAGGGAAATGCAGATTAATACTACAGTGAAATACCAGTAAACTCAAACCAGAATAGCTATAATCAAAAAGACAGACAATATCAAGTGTTGGCAGGGATGAAGAGAAATTGGAACTTATGCATTGCTGATGGGATTGTAAAATGGTAAACCCACTTGGGAAAACATTTTGACAGTTTCTTTAAAAGGTAGACATGGAGACTTCCCTGGTGGTCCTGTGGTTAAGACTCTGTGCTTCCACTGTGGGGAGTGTGGGTTTGATCCCTGGTTGGGGAACTAAGATCCCACATGCAGTGTGGTGCGGCCAAAAAAACAAAACAAAACACAAGCAAACAAAAAAGTTAGACATAAATTTACCCAGCAGTAACATGGATAAGAATTTACTCAAGAGAAAACATATGAGCACTCAAAGACAGGATTATGAATGCTTATGACATCATTATTCATGATAGCGCTAAACTGGAAAAGATCAAAATGTCCATCAACTTGTAAATGAGTAATAAATACCATGTGGTATATCCATACAATGGGATTCTGTTTAACAAAAGAAGAACAAACTGCTGATACATGCTACGACGTGGATAAACTTCCAAACATTATTCTAAGTGAAAAAAACTAAGCTAAAAAGATTATATATTGTTTGATTCTATTTATATGAAATTCTAGAAAAGGCAAATTTATAGAGACAATAATCAGAATAGCAGTTACCTGGGGTGAAAATAAGGATGAACTGTAAATAGGCATAAGGGTACTTTTTGAGGTGATGAGAATGTTCTAAAACTAGACTGTCATGCATAGAGAGCAGACTTGTGGTTCCAAGAGGGAGGGGTTTGGGGGAGACATGCAGTGGGAGGTTTGCGTTAGTAGATGTAAAGTATTATATATAGAATGGATAAACAACAAGGTCCTACTGTGCAGCACAGAGAACCATATTCAATATCCTATGATAAACCATGATGGAAAAGAATATTAAAAAAGAATGTAGGACTTCCCTGGCAGTCCAATGCTTAAGACTCCACACTTCCACTGCAGGGGGCTCGGGTTCGATCCCTGGTCAGGGAACTAAGGTTCTGCATGCCGCACGGCATGGCCAAAAAATAAAAAATAATAAAAATATAATGTATATATATGTGTAACTGAATCACTTTGCTGTACAGCAGAAATTAACACAACATTGTAAATCAACTATACTTCAATAAAAAAAGACTTTTTTGAATCTAAAGACCAAAGCAATCAGGTGTTTTGAAGATAATGATAATAACAAAAATTCTGGGCCAAAAAAACAAACAAACAAAAAAACTAGATTGTCATGAATATTGCAGAAGTCTAAATTTTCTAAAATTATTGAATTATACACTTACTCTGAGTGGGTTTTATGGCATGTAATTATACTCAATAAAGCCTTTTAAAAACCACAACAGATTATTAATTCTCACAGTTCTTTGAGTTCTGGTCTCAGCTGGGAGATTCTCACTTGAGGGCTGTCATGTAATTGCAGTCAGCTATTGGCAAGGGTGACAGTCATCCAAAGGATTGATTGGACTGAATTTCCATGATGTCTCATGTGTCTGCTGGCTATTGACCAGTCCATTTAAATATGACCTCTCTGGACTTCTTCCAACATTTTGGCTGGAGGCCAAAATAGGAGGCTGTGGAAGCTGCCAGTCCAGTTAATGGCTCAACCCAGACCAGACAAAGTTGTCATTTCTGTCATATTCTGTTAATCAGAGCAGTCATGTGGCCTGTCCAGATTCCAGGGGGTTGGGAAATAAATGCTCTCTTGATGGAGCAATAAGGATACATTTCAAAAGAATGCATGTGGGATAAGAGATAGTACTGTGGACATCTTTGGAGAAGAAATGGCTATATTTATTTCATCTGTTTTTCTTATTATCTGTAAGATATAGTTATTAGGAATTTAGATCATTAAAAAGTAAATCATGTACTTCAAATGTCAACAATTTTTGGATTGACAGCTATTTTAGAACATAATTGTAGTTAGTGCCTTAACTTACCAAGAACAGTTGAATAATCTGAATTTTTTAATTTTCTTAAAATAAAGTGTGTTCATTTGGAAACATTTGAAAAGTAATATTTTCCAAAGGGTAATACTTCCTGATTATGATCAGTTAATGATTTTTTAGTATATTCAGTGTGTTAGGTTCAAATTTGACTGACAGTTATTGATCACCTATTATGTGTAACATCTAGTAAAATAGGTGTTATTATCCACATTCTACAGGGGGAAAAGCTTGCCATTATTAAGTACAAAAATCAGGATTTAAGCCTAGTTCTTCTGAAAGAACATCTATATGTGTATAACTGAGTCTCTTTGCTGTACAGCAGAGATTGGCACAGCATTGTAAATCAACTAGACTTCAATAGAAATCAATCAATCAACCAACCAACCAACCAACCAACCTAGTTCTTCTGAAAGTCAACTAGAAAGAGTACTCTTAAAAACACTTTTATTTTTAAAAAAATCCCTACATATTGAAAAATAAATAAATCCTAGGTCTGTGGCTTGACGAATTTTCATACATCTAATATACATATGTAATCAGCAACCAGATCAGATCAACAAAGTATTACCAGCACCTCCTCTCATGCCCCACTTCCAGGAATCTCCCCCAAAGATAATGTTTATCCTGTCTTTCAATACTCATGTGTGTCAATTTTGATATGTTTTTGAACTTTTCATAAAGAGAATTGCAGAGTATATACCTTTGTGTCTGGCTTCCTTCACTTGACATTGTATTTTTAAAAATCATCCATATTGGTGCATGTGATTGTAGTTTCTTCTGTTTGCTCTGTAGTGTTCAATTGTGTGAATACACTACAGTTTATTTATTCTACTGTTGATGTGTTTTGGGAAAGTTTCCTGGTTAGCATATTACAAATAGAATGAGTATGGATATTTTTTTGCATATGAGTGAATGAAATGTAGCTACCAATGTTGCTTCCCTTTTCCATGTAATTTGGGAAAAAGAGTATTATTAATCACATTGGTAGAGAAATAACTCACAATTCATAACATTGTTCTAATTTTTAGATGTGCCTTAATCTCATCCATAATGATGAGTTTAGAATTTTCATATCCAAAACTCAAACAATTTCAGGTATTAGAAGTAGTTTACATGAAATTGGTTTTAAAAAAATTTCCTACTGAGAGGGACTGACATTTTCAGTTTCTCACTTTTAGAATGAATTTCCACCCTCTCTTTCATCCATGAGTAGCTATATCAGGTGAAATACTGCCTGAGCAACAAGGTACCTGGGCCTACTGGTCCAGCAAGACACAACTTAATTGTGTCATTAATTTAGATTGAATGCCAGTATGGTTCAATTTATCTGAGTACTTTTTACAAATTTTTCTTATAAAACTGTTCATATAGGACATGTTTTATTCTTGTTTATTACTTTAAATACTTTTTGAAAGGTGATGAAGACAATACCGTTTTCTCAAAAGCATCATTCAACCTTACGGAAGCTCAACAAGCAGTGGAAACAGAGAACAGAGACTGCAGAAAATTACTTTGGGAAGGTGATAATCACCTGAAAGAAGAGGCACAGAATGAAGAGCAACCAAATGTAAAAGATAAATTTTCAATATGATTATGTTAAGGTGAAATATATTATTAGTTAGTACTAAGTTTATTATTTTTGCCCAGAACAAGGTTTTTAATATAATGATTTTAAAAAAATTTTTACTGAAAAGTCACTATTAACACCTGAAAATAGAGTTTCTTTAAATAAATGAGGAGTTTGGGATTAACATATACATACTACTATATATAAAATAAACAACCAGGACCTACAGTATAGCACAGGGAATGCTACTCAATATCCTGTAATAACCTATATGGGAAAAGAATCTGAAAAAGAATAGATATATGTATATGTATAACTGAATCACTTTGCTGTACACCTGAAACTAACACAACAGTGTAAATCAACTATACCCCAATTAAAAACAAAAAAAAGAAAGAAAACCTTGGGTTAAAAATAATTACTTTTAAACTCATCATCCTAGAATAACTAAGTGCGTTCATTTTTAAATGGATACATTTATTTCGTTTTATAGTCAATATATTACTTTCTATGCTGATTTTTTTCTTCATTGTATGTGTTAAAATATGAAAAAATAAAGTATGTGCATAGTCATTAAAAACAATGAAAATAACCTACTTATAATTGTAGGGGTTTTTTTGTTCTTAATATTGTTTTTGTTCTTAAAGTTCAAAATCTAAGCTTTTTAGGGAAAAAAAATCCATCCATTTCTTTTGGGAAGTTATCCTAGTAATAAATGTCAGTTTAAGGATATAAGTTTCTGTCTATTATCCTTTGATACCTGTAACTTCCAAAATGAAAATAATGGATTTTAGATTTGTGTAGTGTTTTGGAAATATACTAATTTATAAAAGTGGTGTAAAGACCAATAAGTCTTTTGATGCCTAGAAGACATGTTTATATTTGTCTGAAGATAACATTCTACAAAGAGAATTAATAGGAGGTACAGTTTATATTTGAGAATAACCATTATAGAAAATAACATTGACCATTTTTATAGTGTTCATTTATAAGTGTTCTCATTTAGCAATGGATTTAACAATATTTATAAAAAGTAAGGTTAAGTTGGTTTTTTTTTTTTTCCCCCTACATGTACAGATTGAACAAGAAGCATTATGGGACCTGATTTTAATAGAAGATTATGACTCATTAATAGAAAATATGAGTAACTGGAATTTTCAAATTTTTGAACTTGTAGAAAAGATGGGAGAGAAATCAGGAAGGATCCTCAGTCAGGTTTGTTTCAAACCCCTACTGCTTTATTATAAGTTACTTTTTTCTTGAACCTTTATAAAAAGCAAAATCTAAAGATGTATACTATTGGTTTAGGTACAAGTTCAACATTGTTCATTGAATTATTTTTTTTCACAAATGAAATTTTCAATAGAAAATTTGAAAAGAGAAGCCTGGATATATAACCCATATATATATAAACAAATATATTATTATGTATATAAAGTATTTCATAATTATATGTATATTTATATGAAAAGTAGTTTATTTGCCCATAATAATGGGATTTAATTTACACTAAAGAAGTAATAAAGATTTACTTTTTATTAAATCTTGAGGTTGAAAAGGACATGAAAGGTGATCTAGTTCTTTGGACTGAAACTTATGCTTCATCGTTTTCACCGGTCCTCCCTGTGCTTTACCCAAGGCCAAATGGTCCATTTCATGCTAGAACCATGGAAAAATATTTCCATTTTACCACCCAGACTCAAAGTTCTTCCTGGTGGGTCCACACAGCAGCATCAGATTAACCTTCCTGAAATATTACTCTCATTAACTCCAAAGTATCTTATTTATGAAATGTGAGAACATAAGGATAAATTATGTGAAGGACACACAATTTATCACATTGAATTCTTTAGGGACAGAAATGTGATAAATATATTGTTCTGACTTCTTTTAACACCTAGGACTAGAATAGAATACAATTCATATGCCTTTGAATAAAATGTGAATGAAAAGCTAAAGGGAAGAGTGGAAAAATTTCAAAACTGGGACATGATATGATAATCATTCTTTGGTTTTCAAGGGCTTTAGGGCAGTATCTTCCTTTTTCATATTTCGGAAAGAATTCACTATAGGGAAGTTTTTAATAAATTACTTAAGTTAAAGGCATATACATGGTTAACTTTCCCAAATGCAAATCACAAAAACATATTCAACTGGAAATAGAAATTCCGATTTTTAAAGCAAACTTTCTTTTAATTGACATGTAGGTTATGTATACCCTATTTCAAGACACTGGCTTATTGGAGATATTTAAAATCCCTACTCTACAATTCATGAACTACTTTCGTGCGTTAGAAAATGGTTATCGAGACATTCCTTGTAAGTATTAAAATATATGATTTAAGTTGAAATAATACTGGTTTTGAAATTCTTTATAAATTCCCTTCAGATAGTCCCTTAAACACTTTTAAAATTGCATGTTTGGAAAAGTTGGAAAATAGTAATTGAAAAAGAAAATCTACATCCTCCTACCCAGAGTTAACTGACTACTGTTAACATTTTGGTAAGGGACTTCCTTGGAGGACTGGTGGTTAATACTCCATGCTCCCAATGCACGGGGTGTGGTTTCCATCCCCCGTCAGGGAACTAAGATCCCACAGGCCATGCGGTGCAGCCAAAAAATTAAAAACAAAACCCAAAAAAACCCATTTTGGTATATATCCTTCAAGACTTTTTCTTATACATACTTATTTTTTATGAAGTGAATCATAATACCTATTTATAATCTGCTTTTTCATGTAATATAGTATACATCTTTCTATGTTAACAATTATTCATATGAGTACCTTTTCAAATGTTTGGTAATTTTAAGTCTTGAGTTTCATAAATTTCTTTACTTTAAAATGTTTAAAATTTATCCATAGAATTCGTTTTTTAACTGTGTCCTGATTTGTGGAATAATTTTGTTTGTTTTTTGGCGATACGGCTTGTGGTATCTTAGTTCCCCGACCAGGGATTGACCTTGGCCCTTGGCAGTGAGAGCATGGAGTTCTAACCACGGGACCGCCAGGGAATTCCCTGTGGAATAATTTTTAATGGCTATTTGATTTTATGATACAATAGAATTTTAATTTTATATTAGGAAAAGGTACAATTTTCTTTATGTGTTGATTCATTCTACAGTTTACCTCCAGGTGGACACACTTTTGGGAAATATAGAGAGAGCAAATTATTCTTAAATTGGCCTCATAAATAATGGTGATGCTTAATAATTTAATGTGTGTTATATGTACTATAATTACCACTTACAAAGTAGGCATTTTGAAAAGTGGCTGAATTTTATAAATGGAATAAAGTGATATTTTAAGGTGGACTTCAAGGGCAGGGGAATGGAAAAAAGAAAGCCATGGTGGGGAGTCTTCACGGCCACCTCCAATTAGGATATACTGGTTAAGACAAGAGTCTCTGGGGAATTTCCCGGCAGTCCATTGGTTAGGGCTCTGTGTTTCCACTGCAGGGGGCACAGGTTTGATCCCTGGTCAGGGAACTAAGATCCCACCTGCTGTGCTGAGCAGCCAAAAAAAAAAAAAAAAAGTCACTGGGACCTAACTTTTCTAAATTTTAGTTTCCAAATTTATAAATGGGAATAACAATAGTACCTACCCCATAGGTAGTGATAATAATGTAAAGCACATATCAAAATTCATGGCACATAGTAAGTGGTCAATAAAAGGTCATGATTGTATTAATAATAAGCTCCTAGTGGGTTGACATCATACCTATAGTCTAAACATTCAGTATTGTATCATTTGCTAATGCTGCATGGAAGGTACACATTAAATATTTGTTGAAACATCAGCTATGACTATAATCATTAGGTTCACAAAGGTTATCTCATTTAATCTTTGTTGGAAAGGTTGTATTATCTACCTTTTACAGGTGAGAAGTAAAAATTCAGAAGGATCTTTCCCATGATCATAAAACTGGAAATAGCAAAGCTGGGTTTCACTTGTAGGTCTTGCCTTCTCACATAGTGGTATTTCAGTAAACCAGTGTTTTATTGATCATGTACTACATGTCAGACACTATTCTGGATGTTTATATAAAGGTATATACCTTTTAACATGTAATCCTTATAGCAGGCCTGAGAGAGAGTTATTTATTATCTATTGGCGAGGCAGCTGTCCAAGTGTCCAGAATTTTTAACTGTTCTATGTGCCTTTGTGCAGAAATTGTTTTGTTTGCAAACATGGGTCTCCATAACCGAGACACTGTTTGCACATTTTTAAGTTAAAATTTTTTTTTTACATCTTTATTGGAGTATAATTGCTTTACAATGGTGTGTTAGTTTCTGCTTTATAACAAAGTGAATCAGTTATACATATACATATGTTCCCATATCTCTTCCCTCTTGCATGTCCCTCCCTCCCACCCTCCCTATCCCACCCCTCTAGGTGGTCACGAAGCACCGAGCTGATCTCCCTGCTATGCGGCTGCTTCCCATTAGCTATCTATTTTACGTTTGGTGTCCATATGTGTATATATGTATATATGTCCATGCCTCTCTCTCACTTTGTCACAGCTCACCCTTCCCCCTCCCCATATCCTCAAGTCCATTCTCTAGTAGGTCTGTGTCTTTATTCCTGTCTTACCCCTAGGTTCTTCTTGACATTTTTTTCCCTTAAATTCCATATATGTATATTAGCATATGGTATTTGTCTTTCTTTTTCTGACTGACTTCACTCTGTATGACAGACTCTAGGTCTATCCACCTGATTACAAATAGCTCAATTTCGTTTCTTTTTATGGCTGAGTAATAGTCCATTGTATATATGTGCCACATCTTCTTTATCCATTCATCCGATGATGGACACTTAGGTTGTTTCTATCTCCTGGCTATTGTAAATAGAGCTGCAATGAACATTTTGGTACATGACTCTTTTTGACTTATGGTTTTCTCAGGGTATATGCCCAGTAGTGGGATTGCTGGGTCATATGGTAGTTCTATTTGTAGTTTTTTTAAGGAATTTTAAAAGCCACAAAAAAGCAATCGTAGGGATTTCCCTGGCACTTTCACTGCAGGGGCCCACCCTAGTTTGGTAACTAAGATCCCGCAAGCCTCGCAGACTAGCCAGAAAAAAAAAAAGGCAACCTTAAGTAAATTAGCCCTGGTAATGCTGCCTTTTCTTTGAGCCCTGTAATATGTTTTCATAGTATATGTGAAAGTTTTTAAAAGAAAGCTTTTTAACACATCAATAAACTTTTACAAAATAAGATGAAACAAAAACATAAATTGTTGGAAATTATTCTAAGCCATATATTTTATTTATGAGGATACAGTATGACTAGAAAGTACTTTTTAAAACGTCCTATGTTAAAAATAACAGAATGATCATTTTTATAAAACATTTTGGTGACTTTAGATCACAATCGTATACATGCCACAGATGTCCTACATGCTGTTTGGTATCTGACAACACGGCCAATTCCTGGTTTCCAGCAGATCCACAATGATCATGGAGCGGGAAATGAAACAGGTACTTCCTTCTATAAGTCTTTCCTTTAATTATTTGATTAGGAAATAATAAATCAAACTATCTCATTTCATTATCTCTGTTCTCTTAAAAGTTTTATTAAGTAAACTTTGGTATATATAAAGGACTATGTAAATTTTGAAGAATAATGACATGCAAATTAGGACACCCACTACCTGTCTTAAAAGTGAGGTTAAGATTCAGTACTACTCAATCTACCATGTTTCTTTTCTGTGTCCCACAGTGCTGCCTTCTTCACTGAGGTAGCCAATATCCTGAATATTATGATAATCATTTCTTTGCTTTTCTTTCAATTCTTAGTTTTTTTGTTTTAGGTGTATCATATAAATTAAAAATATATGACATTCCCAACAAAAGTGGACATGTTTAAAATCTTCATATAAGTATTTAAATAATAATATTAAAAAACTTAACATTCAAATTTTGTTTCCTCGTAAATGTAACTATACAAATATAATGAATTATAACATTCATGGCTCTCTCATTCTAGTTTATAAAATAGGGGAGACGGGAATTACCTGGTGGTCTAGTGGTTAGGATCCGGCACTTTCACTGCCGTGGCCTGGGTTCAATCCCTGGTGAGGGGACTGAGATTCCAAAAGCTGTGTGGCCAAAATTTTTTAAAATTAAAAAAAAAGAGAAATGCTCCAATAAAATACATACACACGTACACACACACACACACACACACACACACACACACACACACACACAAATCAGGACAGAATTTGCTCAGTTACAAATGTCTGAGAAATATTACCATACTAATCAGTGTAAATGTGATATAGTCTTAGCCACTGCTTTACATTCTTTGGTGGTTTAAAGTACTGCCATTGTTTGATGGATTTGCCTTATGTCACTAGTTCATTTTTGTCTGCCATCCATACTCTTTCGTAGAGCTCTTCCTTCCTTCCAGTAGTTCTGTGCTTCCATCAGAGATCATTTTCTTCAGTCTTTTTATTTGTAGATTTTTTTTTTTTTTTGGCTGCGTTGGGTCTTCATTGCTGCACGCTGGCTTTCTCTTGTTGGGGCAAGCAGGGGCTACTCTTTGTTGTGGTGCACGGGCTTCTCATGCAGTGGCTTCTCTTGTTGTGGAGCACAGGCTCTAGCCGTGTGGGCTTCAGCAGTTGTGGCACACGGTCTCAGTAGTTGCGGCTCGCGGGCTCTAGAGCGCAGGCTCAGTAGTTGTGGCGTATGGGCTTAGTTGCTCCACAGCCTGTGGGATCTTCCCAGACCAGGGCTCAAATCTGTGTCCCCTGCATTGGCAGGTGGATTCTTAACCACTGTGCCACCAGGCAAGTCCCTATAGATGTATTTATTTTGTCTTAGAATAATGTTTTCTTATTTCAGCACATTTGTAAATACCTCTGGGTTCATCTTCTGACTTCTATAGTTTCTGTTGACAAATCAGCCATAAGTCTTATTTCTCCTTAAAAGTATTATGTCCTGGGCTTCCCTGGTGGTGCAGTGGTTGGGAGTCCGCCTGCCGATGCAGAGGATGCGAGTTCGTGCCCCGGTCCGGGAAGATCCCACATGCCACGGAGCGGCTGAGCCCGTGAGCCATGGCCTACACGTCCGGAGCCTGTGCTCTGCAACAGGAGAGGCCACAACAATGAGAGGCCTGTTAAAAAAAAAAAAAAAAAAAAAAAAAAAATATTATGTCCCTTTTCTCTTTGCTATTGGTTTTTTAACATTTTGACTATGATGCACTCAGATGATATTCTTTATATGCATCCTATTTGGGGTTCACTGAACTTCTTGAATATATTGATTAATATCTTTTATTGTTTTCTGTCACGCTTTTCAAAATTCTTCCAGCCTTCTCCCACTGCCCAATTCCAAAGCTGTTTTTACATTTTTAGGTATTTGTTACAGCAATACCCTACTTCCAAGTGCCAAAATCTGTATTAGTTTCCTATTGCTGCTGTAACAAATTACCACAGACTTAGTGGCTTAAAACAATACAAATTTGGGGAATTCCATGGCAGTCCAGTGTTTAGGACTCTGCACTCCCAGTACAGGGGGCATGAGTTCGATCCCTGGTTGGGGAACTAAGATCCTACATGCCGCATGGTGAGGAATGTTTCCTTGCCCCCTCCAACTTCTACAAGCCACCTGCATTCCATGGCTCATGGCCCCTTCTTCAAAGACATCAGCGTTGCATCTTCAAGTCTGTCTCAGACCCTGACCTTTTCATCCTTCAAAAGAATTAGCAAAAAGTGGTACAGCTACAATGTTGCTTTTCTGTCCAGAGTACACATTCCTGACGGTGCATCTCCTACTTTTAATATTTTTTACAGTCTGAACAGGTTGAGAATTTCCCAAATTATCAAATCCTGGACCTGTTTTGCTTAACAGTTCTCCCTCATTTTTCTCTTGCATTTTATTTCAAACAGTAAGAAACCTGGCTATATATCTTCAATACTTTACTTGGAAATCTCCTCAGCTAAATATCTAAGGTCATTGTTTACAAGTTTTGTATTCCACATATGCAGCACACAATTCGACTAAGCTTTCTGCTGCTATATTGACAATGATCCCCTTTCCTCTAGTTTCCAATTATGGGTTCATCTGAGCCCCCACTGGCAGTGCCCTTGACAGCAGTTTTCTACCACCAGCCTGTTCAAGATGATTTAAGTATTCCCTAAGGCAATGCCTGTTTTCTCTTCCACGCACTTTACTTCCTCCTGAGTTCTTACTAGCAGTGCTATGAGTCCTTATACACAATATTATGGAATCAAGTATGTGCAGAAGACAAAGCTTTCTTTGGGAGACCAAGTAGCTGTTGAAATGTAAAATTGTGGTAGAAACAAAGACTATAAGGACTATGGGATGTGCTGCCTTATTCTGATTGCAATGGAGAATTAATAGAAAAAAAAATGATGACACCAAAAGTATAAGCAACAAAAGCAAAAATAAACAAGTGTGACTACATCAAACTAAAAAGCTTCTACACAGCAAAGGAAACAATTTAAAAAATGAAAATGCAACCTACAGAATGGGAGAAAATATTTGCAAACCATATACTGGGTAAGGGGTTAATATCCAAAATACATAAAGAACTTGTACAACTCAATAACCAAAAAACAATCCAATTTTTTAAAATGGGCAGAGAAACAAAATAGACATCCACATGGCCAACAGGTACATGAAAAGGTACTCAGCCTCACTAATCATCAGGGAAATGTAAATCAAAACCACAATGGGGGGCTTCCCTGGTGGCGCAGTGGTTGAGTCCACCTGCCGATGCAGGGGACGCGGGTTCGTGCCCCGGTCTGGAAAGATCCCACATGCCGCAGAGCGGCTTGGCCCGTGAGCCATGGCCGCTGACCCTGTGCGTCCGGAGCCTGTGCTCCACAACGGGAGAGGCCACAACAGTGAGAGGGCCACGTACTGCAAAAAAGGCCACAACCAGTGAGAGGCCCGCGTACCGCAAAAAAAAAAAAAAAAAAAAAAAAAAAAAAAAAAAACAACACAATGGGATATCACCTCACACTTGTTAGAATGGCTGTCATCAAGAAGGCAAGAGGTAAGTCTTGGGCAGGATGTGGATATAAGGGAACACTTGTGCACTGCTGAAGGGAAGGTAAATTGGTTCAGCCACTGTGAACAACAGTATGGAGATTTTGATTCCTCAAAAAAATAAAAATAGAACTATCATATGAAGTAGCAATTTCTGGGTATATATACAAAGGAAATGAAAACAGAAGTTTAAAGAGATATACACAGTCCCATGTTTATTGCATCATTATTCACAATAGCCAAGACATGGAAATAACTTGTCTGTCAATGGATGAATGGATAAAGAAGGTGTGTGTGTGTGTGTGTGTGTGTGTGTGTGTGTGTGTGTGTGTATACACACACAATGGAATATTATTCAGCCATGAGAAAGAAGGAAATCCTGCCATTTTCAACAACACGGATGGGCTTGAGGGCATTATGCTAAATGAAATGTCAGACTAATACTTTATGGTATCACTTATATATGGAATCTAAAAATGTTGAACTTGTAAAAACAGGCCATGAGTGAGGGAATTGGTGATATGTTGTTTAAGGGTACAAACTTGGAACTGGTAGATAAACAAGTTCTGGAGAGCTAATGCACAGCATAATGATTATAGTCAACAGTACTATATTATAAAGCTCAAAGTTGCTGAGAGACTAGATCTTAATTGTTCTCACCACAAAAAAGAAATGATAATTATGTGGTGTAGTGAGGTGTTAGCTAATGCTCCGGGTGGTAATCATACTGCAATATACAAATGTATCAAATCAACACCTTGCATACCTTAAATTTACACAGTGCTTTGTGTCAATTATATTTCAATTAAAAAAATGAAATGACATGTTTAGAGTTTTAATGAATGGTTAGAGAACCAGATAGCTAAAAGATTCCTTAATTTTTATAGTTAGTAGGATCATAACTTCTGAAAACATAATCCAAAGTCTGATCCTGAAGTTACCTGAAATACAACTCAAGTTGAGTTCATGGCCTCACTAAGCCTCTTATGTTAGAACTATGGTATCGATTGGGAAAGAAAGGATCCTGATAACTGGAAGGGGAATATTTGAGTAGATTTCAGTAAATCTGATTACCCTGAACCCCTCAAACCTTGCTGTACCTCCCTGCTGAGAAACAATCATTTCTCCTTGTGTTGGTTGCCTGAAGACCTTGTAACAACCTCACCTGAGATTCTTGACTTGTAGGGGAATGTTATTTCACCTCTAAATCCAGTCCCACCACCTCTCATTTCTTTGTGATCCATAATTAAACTCATATCTTCCAGCATCTAAGTCTGAATAGCAGAATAATTTCCTAAATTTATATTGGCAGAAACCTGAGGAACATATGTGGGAATGGATTTAAAGTGTTACAGCAAGGGGAAGGAAGGTAATGGTTGATCATTCTGAATTTATTGATATAGGTGTACCTATTAGAGATTCTGGATTCAGGGCATTAGCTTGAGTGTTTGGCAGTGGCC